AGTCACTGTCTCACAGGGAATTGGAGAAAGCTCAAAGAGGGACTGGAATGGTCAGGAATCAAGAAACTTCTGTAAGGCATCTTTTGGTCTCTTCTTTCCAAACTAGGTCAGTTGGCTACTGCTCTCAGTTCTAAGTCTAACAAGGAAATCCTGTTTCTCCATTAAAAATAAATAAATACATAAAATTGGTTTTAAAATAACTATTACTAAGATGGAGTTTGCTAGAGTCATTTTCAATGTTTTTGTTTGTTGCTTTTTTTTTAATTAGATCAGTCTGTGAAGTACTTTTGCTTCCCTGGGTTGTCAAATGTATGTGCTTTGTAAAAGTCAAAGGGCTGTTTTTAAAATCCCACACAAGTAAAGCAGATTTTCCTTTTCTGGCTTTGTAGCATGATGATACTGGACTATCTGTATCTAAATGTGCCATCCTGACTTCAGCATGAACTTTAACCAAAGGTTCAGTCATTGCCCCGATACAGAATGAAGACGTTTCAAAAATGTATTGACCAGATTTCCTGGCAGTTTTGTTTGACTAACAATATTAGAAACCTTCAGTGTTAGTACCAAATTGTTACAAAAGCAACATCTTATTTTATCAATATCCTTCTGCAGCAGTATTGACTAGACAGGTTGTAGAACTCAAATCTTAGGTTGAAAATAGTTGTCTTCTTCCTCATACATATACAAAGTCATCAAATGTATTATTATTGGGATTGTATTATACTGTTACTGTAATAATCAAAATGGCTGTAGTTCTGCAAAACTTACATGGACAATGAGGACAGGCTAAGATGCAGTGGCTAGTTTTTCTGCAGATATAAGTCAACACAGCTTAACTGACAAAGAAATTATGATGTATAGACTTTTCTTAGCTGCTGCCTGTAATCAGATGTGGTGAGATGGTGGGGTCTACCCCTTCGCCTCTGGGGTAGGTGCATACTTACTGTTGATGAGTTCAATTTATGTACATTAAACCAAATTAAGAAGCAAAATATATTTTTTTCCAAAATAGCATAACATCTAGTAAATTCTAGTTGTCTTATGAAGCAGTGGGACTCTTGAGCTGAACATTCAGGGTGCTAGATTTTTGATTGCTCTTATATATATAGCTTTGTAGGTTTCAGGGCTGCCAAAACATTTATACTAACACTGTATCTGCTCCAGATGCATCTCAGCAGACTTGATGGGAATAGTAGCAGTTCAGCACAACAGATACACACGCAGTGAAGTCACTGAATAGGTTCAAGTTGCTCCTCATGGTCTGAATTATTTAGCTACTCATCTCTTCTAATATTCATCTCTTCATGAAAAAAATAACTTGGGAGCAGAATAACCCATCTCTTGATTACCGTGTTTCTTATAGGAATTCGTACATTTCAGGCTGCAAATTGAAGACTTTTTGAAATCATGGGAATTTAAGCGGATTGTAATCTTAAATTATAATTTCAAGGTTAATTGTTAATTAATACTAATGAGACCCCATTTTGTTTACCAAAGCTAGCTTGTGAAGTACAAGGTAAGTTACCACAGAGACTAAGAAGTCCGTAGATCTCATAGAAGGGTGTTTTCCAGATTTGTCGTGAGTAGGAATTAACACAGGGATGAGTTTCGCGAGGAACCCAGACGGCTCTTTTTCAGGACTTAATCCAACTTTCAGCTCTGAGTATGTTTAGAAAACTGTGTGTGAATGGTCCCAATGATTTCTAGCGGTTTTCCTTTCAAAGAGTAAAGCATCAGGGCACCATGAAGACTGCTCAAGAAATGGTAGCTCTTTTGTTTTCTGCATTTCTACAACCTTTAATCAGCTATAGCTTCACTGCAGTATAGGATTCATTACGGTCTGACGTGTTTTGTAAGGAAATACTGTATTTTTGTTATGTGTCTGAGTCACACTTTAAATGTATGGATGATTTAAAGTGTTTTGCTATCAGATTTCATATTATTCATCAAATGCAATTCTGCAAGTGGTAATGCGTGCAGTAATAACTGAAATAATGAGTGGTACAAAAGGAAAAGAGACAAGAAGAGAAAGAATGGGATAAAAGGCTAAAGAACTACAAAATAAGTACTTGGGATTTTTTTAAATTGCTATTTAGCTTTTGTATCTGAACAAGTCACTATGACTTGCACATTACTTTTTTTCCAACATTTCACCAGACCTTGTAGGTCTGCAATTATCTGTAAAAATATGAATGTATGCAGCTAAAATACAGCCATTTAATTTTCCCATTGGATCCTTCAGGTATACTCTGTGGCTTGACCTTTTTTCTGAAGGTCAAGAGAATTTTATTCATCTGACATACTTAGCTTGAATATGGCATTTATAGCTTGGCTAATGTTATGGATGGTAACACCAGTAGACATTTATACGGCTTCAGCAGGAGTTCAGCCGGCAGAACTATCAGCCTGATAAAGGCTTTCATCTTAAAAGTTGTATTGCTACAGTTACCCGAAAACTTATGCTGCTTCTTGAAACCAGTAGCCTGGCTAAAGAGATGAGGAGTACCTTCTGATAATTCCTGGTGGCTGAAGAGCTATCTTTAGTGCAAGAATTAAGATGCCTGCATGCAGCTGTTCTGGTCTGAGTTAGAAATTAACATAGAATTTTGTCATTTTAAATGTATTAAGGCTAGTGCTACTCAAAAAAATTAGCTTGAGAATGAACTCCAGGTAATGAGTCCCAACATTTTTTTCTACCCAATTATAAAATATTTCTGCAGAATTTTAGGAGACAGAACTGCTATACTGATATTTTTGGGAAAAAAAATAGTCTTACTTCTTTAACTAGATGTTTTGCAATTATAAAACTTTTAGGAAATTGTTAAAAAAAATAATAATCCAAAGCCTATAGAGAAGGTTGAAACTAGTACAAGAAGCTGGCATGACAGTTTGTACGATTTTTGGCTTCGGAGAAGTTTATTTTGTAGAGAGCTACGAAAGTAGTTAGGGAAAATAGTTATGCATTGATTGTGGTTCTAAAAGCAGTTGAAATAAGTAACAGCAGGAAAGTAAATGGGGTGTATCTGATACAATCTGATACAAATGTACAGTCTGAATGCTGCAAGTCTGTCACCATGTCTTGGAAGAAAGGTGGAGTAACTGTAGCAGAGGTCAGGAAGGGTAATTTGAGGCTTTGAATAACAACTGTACAGGGACATAGATACTAAGTAGGCTGTGATTCTTCAGATGTCTAAGGGATTCAATAATAGATATCTATAAAATTGTGACCAATGCTGAGAATTTTAATAAGCAGTAACAATTATCCCATATTTCTTAAAGTATTAAGAAGTGAAGATTAGACAGTGAAATCATCAGCAGGCTTTAAACAAAGAAGAAGCAGTACTTTTTGTCTGAAGCTGCCTGAGTGTGCAGGTGAAGTGTTTGTTCAGTACATCCTGTACTTTTCCTCAAATACTTGTTCGCTGTTAGAGATAAGATACGAGGCTAGATGAATTCTTGATCTGGGGATATAATTGGTAGAATCTTACATTTACATGCCCATTCACAGAGAAATGAGGAAACCTGTGGTTTGGGCATTTTCTTTCCAAAATGCAGGCGTTTGGCCCTTCAGTTTGTATGGTTAATGTATAAATGTTATGTCATGTTAAAACATGACAACTGAGAAATTACATTATATGAAGGTGTGATTATAAAACCAAAAATATGTAGCAGACTGAAGTGCAAGTATAAGATTTAACCTTCCTTTTAGCTTCCTTTTAAATGCTGACTAGCTTTCAAGTTGATGAATCCCTTTAAACTCACTTTAAAATATATTTGTCTGGCATGGAATTATGTGGTAGCAGCAGAAGCCTTGGCTATTGCATTTATCATTTGGTGGATATATTAAACCTTATTTTCTGATGTTTTTTTTTTTTTTAAATTCACCAAATATGCAGGATCTTAACTCATTCAAAACCTGAAGACAAAAAATATTCGTTAAAAAGAAATTGTATGTTCCAGTCAGACTTCAGTCAGACACATTGGCTACAGTTTAAGAGCACAAAGAAAAACTTGCCTTGTGCATTTTCTTTACCCTTCCTGAGCATATAATGTATTGCCTTCCTGTTGGGCTGTAATAATCTTCTTTCAGTTGAGTGATTGTTTTGCTTTTTGCCGCTAGTTTTGGAAGACAGTCTCCCACCTTCTTTCTGCTCATCAATTGAATAACCTGTCCTCTTCTATTCAGCTGTTTCTCATGAGCTGTTTGATCTGCTAGGATCTCATATTTGTCAGCTGTGCATTTTGATATTGTTATAACCGATGGAATGTTTTCTGCCACTAATTTTAGAAATTTCTGTATAAGCCAAGAATACTGTAGAACCTGTGGTAGCCCTTCTGCCAACTCACTTTAGTGGTGGTGAAGACCAAGTTCAGATAAACTGTAATGGCTCGTACTAAAGTAAACAAAACGAATCCCACTGTGAAACTTGCTCACTGATTTTAGGAACTGACCATATCACTTCTTGATCCCCTATCTGCCCTCAAGTAAGCATCCATGGTTTTTTTTGTTTTTTTTTTTTGAGATATGTAATCAAGCAACTGTGGCAGTTGTCTTGTACGTTCCTTCTCCGTGCTACCTCACTCAGAAGCTCCAGCAAGGTCTCATGTAGTCTTCTTCACCGTTTGCTACTCTTCCCATAAATGTCATAGAATTGTAGAATGGCTTGGGTTGGAAGGGACTTTAATCATTATCCACTTCCAATCCCCCTGCTATGTCAGCTGACTCTGAGTTAGTGGAAACTGCTTTAACTCCTGCACGTAAGGGACACAAAGCGCAGTGACTTCTTGATAATCCGCACAAATTTGATTTTGCCGCTTTGACTTCATTTGTTGTGTACATCTTTGATGGGCTGCAGTGTCCTGTTGTGGCACCAGTTAAAACCCTTGTCTGCTTTACTTTCAATTCATTTCCAGCATAGCAAGCTATCTGAAAGATGCATTCAAAGAACGGTCCAGTCACTGACCTCTGATGGGATTCAGGTCTGTTTTGTTATTTTCAGGTTCTGTTTGGCACTGCTGATGGTCAGGTTATTGTCATGGACTGCCATGGGCGAATGCTGGCCCATGTGCTCCTTCATGAGTCAGATGGCATCCTCAGCATGTCCTGGAACTACCCCAGCTTCCTGGTGGAAGACAGCAGTGAGAGCGACACAGATTCGGACGACTATTCCCCACCACAGGGTAGGTTCCTTGCATGTCCTTCTCTTTCAACTTTGCTGGCACTTGTGAACACCAGGGAGTAGTCGTGTTGTACTGAAACAGCAGGATGGCTGTGGTTTCAAGCAGGTAGAAGACAAAAGATGATGCATTGCTCTTGAGGTAGAATCGGGGGTGGAGCAGAATACTGTTATGAGGGAGTGGGTGCATCCCAACTCTGCCAATATGGCATGCTACAATACACACCTCAGCCATGCTGCTTTGCCTCCATTTGCACAATGAGGTAACAGCCCAAAACTGAAAAGTTTTTTAGTGAGGCCAAGTGGAAAAAGTAGATAGGGGCCTATCAGATGTCACTGATAAGCACATGTGAGATATTGCTATGGTCCATAGTAGGTAGATGGCAGTCACAAAAGTTAATGCATTATTTTTTATATTATATATATTTGTCTGAAAAGATAACAATGCTAGACATGGCAGAAGGTACTGCATCTTTGATTTTAAAGAAATCCCGTGATGCAGAGGTAATACTCATCATTGTAGTTCCATCCTTGATAGTACTGACACAGAGAGCTCAATAAATTTCATACAGGGTGGTTATAAAAATATTTCCTGCAACTACATGGGGTAGATGGAGGGTGACTGGGGCTGCCTGAAATTACTAATTCCTGTACTTCTGAACACATTGCCAGTTTTTGAGAGTCTGGAAGAAATCCATCATGACCCTTAAGTATAAAACTCCTTGGGCAAAGTGTTTTGGTTTTAAACTCTTTGGAAACCATAAATAGCAAAGACCTATCAGCTACCATGTGTATACAGTATGGGGTAGGATATAGTCATCACTTCTTTTTGTAAATGCTGTTGATTATTCTACGAATAAGCTACGAAAGGATAAAGGCAACAATGATTGCACAATAAAGATTTGAATACATAATAGCTAGAAATGATTCTGAATCTGCATCTCAGATACGAACCACTGAACTGGGGACACTTGCAGTTTTAGTTTTCATTTGGACTCAGTCCAAAAATATCTTTTTCAGAATCACTTATATGCACATCAGTATGATAAACATATATTTAGCAAATACTGGTAGGGAATGTAATCATCTGAAAAACATGCTAGCATCTTTTGACCTGAGTTTTGTTTTGGCTTTAACACCTGACTCTTGGTAATGAGTGAGATTGATTGCTTTAGTAGGAAAAAAAAACCACAAACCTTCAAATTTCCTAGCAAGCTCCTAATGCAAGACAAGGAATAACATTGAATTTTTATAATACCTTTGAAATCCAGTTGGAGGATGGTGAAATTGCAGAGTACGCAGATGAGAGCTCAAATGATCCAAATGTGATAGCTTTTTCTGAGTCAATCAGGGTGGGTGGACTCATTACAAACCTACAAGTCTGCTTTTAATGATTACCCAAACATGATTTGTTTTCTTTAGAGCAGATGCAGCATAAACCTCTCAAAGGTGACAAGCCTTTGACTCACACAGAAGTGTAGGAAGGACAGCAAGTTTGATGAGTTTCTTTTACCAAATTACATACACAGAGCTAATTACTAGACATCATTCTCTGAGGTGCTTTTTGATTGACTTTTTGCAGGTTCAGGAAGCAATACTACTCTTAAATGTCTTTGCCATTTTTGATGACTGAGAATGTGCTGGTCATGCATTGAGAGCAACACTTTAACAGGATCCAGCACTGTCTCCTCTTAAGCCTTGTAAACAAAATGGAGTTAAATAGTGAATGCTACAGATGGCAGTGTTGGTCATTAAGTATTTGAACAAGTGAATTTCAACGAATGCTGAAAAGTAAGCCCAGGGAAACAGAGGCTTTATAGAAATACTTTTGAAAGTAAAGTATTAATTTGATCTCATCTTCACTTTTGAGCTCGTTGAATCCTGTTGTGCACACAATTTTTCATGCTGCTTCCTAGCTCTTAACATTTAAAATACAGCAATTTGTGAAAGGTCAGTGTGTTCTCTTAGAAGATCTTACGAAGTCTCTAGTGACTTCAGGAGGAGTCCCCATTACTTGCCCAAGCAGGAAATGTATCTAACAAGTAGCTTTCAGCATGATGATAGTGTTTATTATGATGTTTTTCAACTTGGGACCCAAGGAAACTTTCCAAAGCATTGACTTTCAACTCTGGGCAGTTGACAGTAGAGAAGGGTAGAAGACCATCCTTGGGTAACTTAACAGAAGATCCGTAAATCATTTGGGGTGTGCTGCAGTGAAAAAGTGAAGAGAAAAAATACTGTGGCTTCATAGAAGCAGACAAATTAACTTGCTGTATCTGCTTTGCTTTTGCTTACAGACATTGCAGAAATAAGCAGGTAGTTCAAGATTCTGAACCACTACTGATGAGAATAAGCCTAAGTACAGTCCCTCTCAGCCTCGATGTAATTATTTCTGGTTGCTTACTTTTCGCTCACTCCAGAACCTTGTGCTTGCAGATGGACCAGCTACATATCCAGTCCCAGTGCAGAACACCAAGCCGCTACTGACCGTCAGCTTCACGTCGGGAGACATCAGTTTAATGAACAATTATGATGACTTGTCTCCTACTATCATCCGCTCAGGGTTGAAAGGTAAAAAGGAAAATTTTTCACCCCGTTCTATGCTCTGTTTTACTTGTACTTTGAATTATGTATCTGTAGGTTACCTTTTTGTGTCTGTCTTCTAACCCAGCTCTTATGCAGCCAGAGCTCAGCCGCTTGTATTGCCGTTATCAGCACTGACACCTGCTGGTGGAAAAGAAATGCTTGTTTTGTGGGTTTTTTTTAAATGTTTAAATTTTTTAGATCATGTTTTTATGGCAGCTTTGCAGAGCAAACTGATCTGTTTGCCATTTTTCAGCTGCATGTGCTAATAAGTTTGTTTGTTTGTGTGAAATGGCCCTCTCACATTAACATTGTGTTCATCTTTAATTCACAATGTCTCTTCCCATGCTTTTAGCAATCAGATAAGAATCAGAATGCTCTTTCCCATGTCTTACAAATTTTGGAAACTTGCTAGGATTGTTATTTACCAACAGGCAAGTTATTCTGAGAAGGAAAATTTCACTGATTATTACTGTACATCTTGCTAAATGATATGCTTTAATGTTTGTAAGATCAGTATTCCATGTAAAATGTTTATTTACATTGAAATCTTTACTGATCTTACTTACCAAAAAGTCCTTTATTTTTCCAGCGGTGTCAGTGCTGGCAATTTATGGTATTTTGCCTGCGGACAAGTTTTAATTCACTAAGACACATAAGCACACGGTTAAAAATAGGCTCCTTTCTTTTTTTTTTTATCTCTACAGGTAAATCAGTTTTATATTAGATGCAAAACAAGAGAAAATTTATCTGTCGGAGCAAATCCTTAGCTGTTCTGTAACAGTATAATATCGTTGGTGAAAGGTTATCCTAACACCATCACAGTAGTTTTGGGGTGTTCAGATATGCAGAGGAATATAACATCACACTGGAGAATTCTATCCCACTCCAATAGGGGATAGCTTCTGTCTATCCCAAACCAAGAAGTATGTGCTCTGGCAAAAAGTAGCTTCCTGAGGCAATCCTCTGATCCAGAAAACTTCTTTTGCCAAAAAAGCTACTTTAAATCTGGGAAACTGAAACCAATATAGAGAAGCTCTTGTAATAGACAGCAGGTTGTGTGCCCAGCATCACTATGAAATTATATTAGATCAGATAAGTAGTTTTCAGTTGTCATCTAGTCTGTGCTTCTTGCTAGAACCAGGAGAAACAAACCCATCTTGTTCTTTGTTTAGTGCTGTGGGGTTCCATCTTGATGAGGATGTTTGTCCTGTTTCTCTTTCCCCATTGATTTTAACTAATGGAAAAAGATTCCTTAATTACATCACCTTCTTCTAGCAAGTTACAGTAAAATATGTAAAATACAGTAAAATACAGTAAATTAATACAGTAAAATACAGTAAAATCTATGGATTGTAAACTGGACTTTATCATTGACATCAGTAGAAGAATGTGCAACATCTTGCTGGATTGGCAACATGTGAGAATGAAAGAAAGGTGCTTGGGATATCTCTGTCTTGTTTTGAAGCTAACAGTTTCATTATGGAAAATACTTTACATTTAGTTGTTATATGGGTATACACATTTTCTGTACCTTCTTATTAAAAATGTTGACAAGCAACTGTCATTTTGTTGGTTGTTACCATGTGCAACAACATGCAACTCCACCCAGCACAGTCTCCATACTCAGAAGCCACTTTGAACACGGCTAAGACTGGATGATTTCCAGTATTGTAAGTCAGTTCATGTCTGAAGTCTGTAAGTACTGCATTGTGGTTTCTGTAGCAGATGCATTGTCTTTATAGGCTGCAGTAGGCTACTAAATAAATTTTTAAAGCAGACAACTGTAAAACTCTTTCATGCAATACCAAAATATTTTTGCTGTTCTACTGGCTTGCATAGTTGTGATTTTACTGGAAATATTCACATTAAATTGGTGCAGAAAAACTTCTGCTGTTAGATGAGAGTTTTGTTAATGGAAGTTCTTCTGTTCATGCAGCTTAAACACTCTGGGAAGTTTTGTCTAGTGGAGCTCTTGAACCATTCAGCTGTGTGTTTTCTTTTTCATGCTTTTTAATTCAGTGGTTCTCAGTGCGCTGATCCTTACAGAATCATTGAACTACATCTGCTAAATATACTGGTTAGCTGCAACTGCTACCTGCAGACCTGTTGCAGACCTGTTAGAGCGCTCTCTGTTAAAGGCTTGTAAACATGCCTGCCATGCGAGATGACTGTGATCCACTAATTCACTTGCAGACCATTACACTACGTGAATCCTCCATCCGATTTCTAATCTCTGAGCTTGCACTGAGACACGTTTCTCAACTGAGCTGTTTTATGTCAAGTTTCAGTAGTCTTTGAAGACTCCATTGGTGGTGTGTCATACTGTGAAGCCATACTGTTCCCAGGGGATGCTGTGAATGACATCCAGCTCTTCGCTGCCTTCTCAACAGCTTTGCTCTAGGAGTTTTGACTGAGAGAGAAAACTGCTGAACATAGTAGTTACTCCTCTTCCTCTAGGTGTAGGGATCAACTCAGGTTTTGCTTGGAGACATTTATCTGAAGGAGATTGTTATTTCACTTTGGTGTATTGTTATTGATGATTGGTGATTGTTATTTCACTTTGTTTAGTTAATTCAGTTAACGCAAATGAAGTTGATCTGCCTGCCTCATTGATTTCTGAAACATCCATCATCAGACTCTCTGAAAAAGATTAATTAAATCCCATTGTAGATTACTTAGAGGGCTGAGGACCAACAGGAAAAAAAAGAAGCATGCAGTGCCTAGCTGTGAAAAAAATATCTTGAGAAACACGTGCCTTCCCTTGGTATATGAGAAGCATAATTCCCATGAGGAATACCAGAAAGTTGAAAAAATACAAAACCATTTTAAATTGCACATAAAAGTCCCTGAAAATGACAAGTTGACTACTTGAAACAATTTTGAGATCCTTCTTGCCAACTCTCATTTCTCTCCTGCTTCTTCATTTGAAGACAGCTTCTCGCCCACAAATATCTTCAAAAGGTTCTTGGCAGATTGAGCATCCCAGAGCACAAAAGTTTTGTCTTTACCATCACTTTGTCTCAGCACAAAATAGCTGCCTTTCACCTCCAGTTTAAGAGTAAAAAGATTTAAAGACTAGCTCAATATTCCTTGTACATGCAAATTTGCATCTGAAACACAAGCAGGAGCGCAAAGTACTGTTTTGATGTGACAAAGAGCTGGAAGATATAACAATTTGAAATTAGCATCCCCAAATTAAACTGTGGATGTTCCTCATTGTGAGGTGCCTGTAGAAGTAACTGATATGTATATTCATATCCACATATATGAGAGACTAAGCAATCCCTGTGTGCTTCTGGCAAATTCCTGCTAGGCTGAGGATTAAATTTTCAAAAGTCAAGTCAAAAGAAAATGTGTGACATGGAGGCCATATGTATTTATGGAGAAAAATACAAAAGTCTTTCATTCTTGATGTTACAGATTTTGAGTTATACTAAAAGTTACATTTACAGCCAGTGAGAATGTGAGGCACTGCTAAACATGCTGGTTTTTTGCACTGTAGGCCTCTCCAGACAAACAGTCTTTGCTACTCAGTGAGTTTATTTACCTGGGCATTAAAGTGATTCCACTTATTTACCACAAAGCTATGCTCATCTTCCTCACTGGTTTTAATATCGCTGCTAAATTCTTATGGTTACATACCTGGGAACGGCCACTAACTTACATTCTACACTTACCACGGGAATAGATTGATTAGTGAGTTGTTACACATTTTGTTGCAGTTCACAAAATAAAAAGGAAGCGGCATTCTCAAAAGTGCATTTACAACGCATTAGCTGCTATTTTGATGAAAAGATTTAGGGTTTTAAATACTTACATAACCTGTAAGAGTATAATTCAGATTCTCAAATCACTTGGGTGCATCTGGAAAATGATTCCTGTTGTTTCTAATAAGAGGTTATTGCCAACTATCTTTGCAATTTCAGATGTGGTGGTACAGTGGTGCACGCAAGGAGACCTACTTGCAGTAGCAGGGATGGAGAAGCAGTGTCAGCTCGTTGAACTTGGCAATGGTTCTCTGTTGAAAAGTGCACTTGTCAAGTTCTACAATGTGCGTGGGGAACATATCTACACTCTGGAGACACCTGTGCAGGTAGGAGAGAGATTGTTTAAATCAGTTGTTAATGATTTTCTGGCATACTTTTCATACATTGGTTTTTTGATTTAGGCTTGTAATATGAAAAGGATTGTAAAATGTCCTACTGCATTCCAAAAAACAATACTATAAAAATGCTCCATAGTTGTTATTTGTGTTACAGTAAACATCCAAGAATATATCTGATTCTAAGGCCCACTGTGCTTAGGTCTTGTGCAAATATAAAATGAGAAATGTTCTTTTTCTTAAAACCATTGGACCACAAGTGGACAAGACAGAAAAGGGAAATTCTGTTATTTCTCAGATAAGTGAGTGAGGGCAAAAAAAGCAGGTAACTTGCTAGATGTTGTAGCAGAGCCAAGAACTGGTGTAATATGGTCCAAGTCCAGTATCAAGATTATACGCTCTTTTTACTGCTATAATTTTCTAATGTATGATCAGTTGGTCTGATGCAATATTCTGCTTGTTATGACATCAGACAGACAAGGAAGAATCAGGATGTCTTATTTCAGTTTCCACTTTCTGTACAGACTTCCACTGTAACTTTGGTCATGTTGCTTGACTATCAAAAGGACATGGACTACATGCTGCTCAGGAGCACAACTGTTTTTAACTCTTCATTGTTCTTCCAGAACACAGCTGAAAGTCACTCTACAGTTTATCTCATTTTCTGTAGAATATGGATGACTCCATTCTCATTTCTGACAGTTACTAGAAAAACTTAAATAATTTATAACAACTTTGAAATCAAAAAGTGGCAAAAAATGTTGTTTACATATAATCAACGATGATATCATGTATTACTGTTTCTTTTTCAGTACCCTGAGCTGAGATGGATACAAAAGGATGACATAGTAAATTGACTGCTTTTGTGTTTACTTATGTTTATTTAGCATTAACCTGTGCTTACTAGCTTTAGCACTCTAATTTAGATAGAATTCTTTAGTTTTGTAACATATGAAATGATGTTTTCTAAAACCACCCTAAATAAGTACAGAGATGACTAATGCTGATTTAGATATTTAAAGGACTTATACGTACGCAGTTTTATTATCTTAAACATAGTTTATCAAGCAAAATAGTGCACCCATATTCATAGTGGATCACTTCTGGAGAAAACATTATACCAGTGATACTTACTCCCAGACCAGGTTAAAAAGTTTATTCTGTTACTCAGTTCCAGAATACAGTATGTCTGTGTTACCTGTGGAACCAGTACAACACTTGGGTGTCAAGCAGTGAAATCAAGTTGTTTGAGCAGTAGAATGGATTGGGACAGATTGCCTTGAGATGTATGTCTGTGCAGCCTTGCTGCTGTCTCCCCACTTTGTTCCCAACAACCACAAATTCTCTCTTACCTCCATGCTTTCATTTCCTCTAGTTCTTCTTACATCCCTTCAACTTCCTTTTATACATTCGTCTCTTCTCCTTCCTTCTCTGCTTAATCACTTGGGGGAAAATGAGCATGTATTGTGGCTGATGAGTGTTAGTTATTTTGCCTATTAAATAATAGGATCATAGGATCAGAAAGGTTGGAAAAGATCTCTAAGATCATCTAGACCAACTGTCCACCTAGCATCAATAAACCATGTCCCTAAGTATTACATGCACCTCCATGCATGGGGATTCCACCACTTCCCTGAGCAGCCTTTTCCAAGGCATTGCTACTCTTTTGGAGAAGAAGTATTTCCTTGGTGTTGTACTTCATCCCATTGGCCTCAGGCCATTGATCCAGTCTCTCCAGATCCCTCTGTATGACTTCCTACTCTTAGGCAGTTCAACACTTCCCCCAATTTGGTGTTGTCTGCAAACTTACTGAAGGTGCATTCAATCCCCTCATCCAGATCAACACCATTCATTGTGCTGTTCCCCATGAATGCTCATTGAACAAATGGACAGGTCATACAGAGTGGGTTACTGCTAAGTTCATACCACAGTACTTTTCATAGTGAAAATAATTAACCCAACCCCTCTGTTCTTTCCAGCTGCTAACTTTCACTAAAGTTGCGGTTTTTTATTATCATGGATATCTTCCCCTCTTTATTGGCCAACAGCTTCAGAACAAGGATAGAAGTGAAAGAGAGGTGGAAAACCACTCATTAACACAACAATCATGCTTATTTCCTTGAGAAACTGTGCTAAAAATATTCCAGCTGATACATTTATGCTAATTAAAAACTTGTGTGCATAATCTTGCCTAGAAGTAGAGCCACTCCTTTCCTGTCATTTGTCAGTGTTTATTTTCTTTATTTATTGCACTTAAGTTCGTATTTAACTCAGCTGCAGGAGGAAGTGAAGGAGATATTTCAGAAAGACACCTGTATCTGCTCATGTGGACTTTACTGTTGTGTGTAATTGATTGCTGGTCTAACAGTGCTACCAGCTAAGTACCAGGTACGCTAGAGCATTGCAAAGTATTTGGTTTACTAGCAAAACCAGATAAGAAATGCTGTTGCAAAAATATCACTGGTAACTTGTTATTCCATGCATCTGCTCCAAGGATATATATGCAGATATGCTAGTCAGTCAGGTCCCGGTAATTTGTCTGATTACAGATTCATCAGAGCAAATTCATTGATTTTATGTAAAATGACAATCAGCCTTGTAATGGTATTTCATGAAATTCATCGCTGGTTACTGAACGTAAATGGAAGAAAAGAATCTGCACATCTCAAACTCTTCTGGTACTAAAACTGTTTATTCCAAAGCAAGCAAAAGTTTGACTGGAAAAGTGTATTTATTCTAATTGAGCATTTTTTCCAAATTTAAGGGTCATAGGAAGTAAAACAACGATGAACATCGGAAGTAGTGGATTGCTGGTGCCAAACTGAGTTTCTTTGTTGCCCTCTGTCCCAACTCTTTGATAAAGCAGATGTCTGAAATTGTTATCAGTAAAATGTACTCAACTGTCTTTGTTTGTGCTGTATATCTTGGAAGAGTACTAAGGAAACAAGAAATTATAAATTGTTCATAGTAAAACTCAGTCTAAAACTGATGTAGGATTTAAATGTAACTTGGCTGGTACATCACCTAACACAAAGGCACTTCAAACTCTATTGTAAAATAAATTTGGGTACTGCAGTTTGCTGATCCTGATGATGGCTGTTGTCATGGTTCCCTTCAAGGTGTTTTGTATGCCACCTTCTCCTCCAGCCTTAATATGTTTTTGCAGTCCTCCATATCATTTGATTAACTCTCCTAAGCACCTTCAGTGTAGGATTTTATGGTTCATAAACCTAGTTTGCTGACTGTAAAACCCTAGGTAGGGAAATCACGCTTGTTTAGAAGTATCCAAATGAACACTGTAGCTTTGTATGAAAAATAATATTCATAAACAGAATGATAGAGCTCTCTGTGCTGGGACATCAGCCTGACATTCTGCAATATATTTGCAATATATATTTGCAATATATGTTTGCAGAATGTAGTGCAAAGAAAAAATCTCAAGTCCCTTTGGAAAGTTACACTAGACTTTAATGTTACTGGAAGCAGTTATATCAAAACTGAGTTCATATTCCAGAGAATAGTGATTATTGATTTGATACAAACACATTATCAATTTCTGTAAATCTTAGTAATTACTGTTTTCGCTCTCATGTACACAAATATTAACCTGATGAACTAAAACTGTGCCCAGTTCTTCTAGCTGGCAGTTTATTCATGGCCTTGCTTTCGCAGCACTTAAAACACTGATTAAAACTGCAGGCTGCCTTGCTGGTTATAATTTTTTAATCAGAAGAATGTTAATCTCTTATGTTTTTTATTAAAACCTCATAACTTTCTCCTGGCACGAAGCAAGTATGGGACTAACAGTAAGTGGCCAAGGCTGTTTTGCAGTCTTGCTAAAATCGGTTATGGGAAATGCTGCATCTGAGTTCTGTCACTTCTGAATTTCTCATCTGAGAAGCAGACAGGGTTTTTTATTATATCAGCTAACAATACCTGCTGTCAGAAAGCTTACTTCTGAGTGGATAAAGCTGCTTTCTGTCTTCTGTCTTTGGACTTTAAACACAAGTGTCTCCTGCAGTCCCACTTAAAAAATGTCTGTCTACCAACTTCACCAGACTTGTGAAGTTATCCCGTTTGTTGGTTCAGATTTGTTATTTCTATTTTGGTTCCTTTGATTTTATAATTTTCTTTCTCATATATCCAGGGGAACAAGAGCATGCAAAACCCTGGTACTGATCTCATCTCAAATTTATAATCCTAAAGAAGGTTAGATTATAATTTTATCTCGTTATGTAATTGCTCTATGAACAGATTACACAAAGATTGCAATGAAGAAGATGAGAGCAGGTTGAGCCCAGCATGTCTCCTATTGAGCTGCTGTATGTATGGGCAACAAAGTCAGATGCAGTAAAAGTGTAGTCACATTTTTCTCAGTGCAATACTTTTAGACCCTAACTCAAAGCAATATACCATAGTCTACATCTTTATGGGAGAGGTTTCCAGCTGTCTTTGAGAAGACCTGCTTGCTCTAACCATACTGCTATCAGTAGAAGCCCTTGTGACATTTCACAGGCTGCTTCTTTGCTGGAAACTTCTGGGCACCTGAACAGTTAGATGGAAGACTGTGTGCTTCTGCAGAAATCTGGTAATTGTGTAGAATTCATTTTACTAAGGCCTGAGAAAAGAGGCACAATTCTAGGTTAAATTCAGATCAAAAGGACTGTGAGAGGAAGAGGCTGTCTGTTATGTTCCCCAGCTGAGCTAACTTTGCTTACTTTGTCTCCATTAATTTCACATACCGTGTTCAGGTTTACTGCTTCTGAATTAACATTGCCGTTTGTTTTCAATCACCTGAAATGAGTCTCGTTTAGTTGACATTGGATGGCACCAAAATTTTGGAGAATTTAATTTGTTACAGAAAGATAAACAAGAGCAGCGGCTCAGAACTAGCTGGCCTAACGTTCTTTGGGATTTCAATAAGGACCTTAATGTTTTACAAATAGGCCATGAGATCATCTCTGACTGCTGCACAAATGGATTGTGATCAGGACTGCAAAATGGGTTCTGTCTAGCTATATTTGGCTGAGAACAGCCTCATTCTGTGAAGATGGATTCTCACATTTGTACTGAAATCTAAACAAAAACAAAAAAAAACACTGTAAAAGCAGAGGATATAAGAAACATTTGCAAATCAAATAAGAGTTTGCTGCATGAAAAAATAATTTAATTAATACAGTGTTTGGTGAGGTCATAGAACTTACTGCTTTTATCATCATCAGTTCTCTTAGTTAGTATTATTCCCATTGTAAACATAGGAACAAAAGAATGAAGAAGTTGCACTGTTTCCAGTAGTTATCCTTGAACTCTAGAGCAGTACAGAGATGTGCGCACAAAATTCCTGAGAGCCAGATGGGCACTTAGCCATTCTACCTTCTGATTTCTCTGAAATAAAAGCAGAGGGAAAGACAAAATGTGTATCTCCACAATAGCACTTTACATTGAGAGAAAGCAGGCAGGGTAGGCTGGAGTTTCTACTTTGTACGTACCATTGGTACCATACGTACCATTGACTGGATACAGTTCTGCATTTTGGTTTCTTCTCCTGAGAAAATCCCCTTTTCCTGGATCTTCTGCCTTGAAATATCTGCCTTTGTTCATCTCATTACCAGTGGGACTTCCAGTAGTCAAGGGTCCTAAGGTCCCCTGACCTTAGAACTTCTGAACTCAAGAGATGCAACAAGGAGCACCTTGCATGGTGTTCTCCTTGACTGAACTTTATACGAGTGATGAGAAGTTTTTAAATTGTGTTTTCTTCCTGTAAGAGAGACTTTCAAATCCACTCTGAAAAGAATGATAATAGAACTTGTTGACTGGTTTTTGAGATGTGTTTTCAGACAATATTTCTCCTGATAAAACATTACGTTTTTTGTTCTTCATTATTTCTAATATACAAAGCTGAATTCCTTTGACGTTTGTTCTGTTGTTCTTTTGTTGTTTTTTTTTTCATGTTTGCATCTAAATCAGGAACTCACTCAGGTCTTTATACTTTGTGCTAAGATCTTTCAACACCTGACTTAACTGCAAAGGGAGATTAGAAATTATCATTAGAAGTTATATGTCCAGCTGCATTTCCTTGTTCCTAGAAGAAATGAACACATGTGCAGCCGTGGAAAATAAAATTCCACTTTCTTGGAGTCTGCAGTATCTGTATCGACACCTTTTCCTTCCTTGTTTACTAAAATAATGGAAATAAGCAGGTGCTTTATGAGGAACAATACTTTTGCATTGAACACTGCAGATCAATCTCTTTTCCTCAAGTGTTTGAAGGCAATGCTGTGGCCAGCTAATGATTGTCTTGCAGTGATAATTGATTCATGTCTCTGTCCTTCAAGGGAAGGAGTGGGAAACCTCGTTATTGAGAAATATTATTGGAGCAGTACATTTAAAGGTCAGGTCCTATCTGACATTTGGGTGATCTTCTTATTTCCCCAGGCATTTAGTTATGCTCTAATTTTTCATGAACCTCATCTGAAATCTTAGACCTCCACGTAAATGAAGTGTTGCTGGATATTAGACTTGAGGGATACTGGGAGTCTGAGCATTCTATAGAAAATGGAGGCAAAGCATGCCTGGTGAATCAGTAAGCAAATGCAAACCAATATTGTATAAGTGCCCTTTGCCAAGACTGAGAATGTTAAGAGTAAAACATGAGGTGTATGGGAGGCTAAATATACAAAGAAAGAGTACAAATGTAATGATGCAAGCAGTTCATCCCTTGTAGGTATTATGTGTATGTGTGCATTTGAATGTACACCCGCTTGTACGTATTGTTTACATAAACATATGCTAAAAATGCCGAACCAAAGGGATCAAGCCTAGAAAAGTTAGAAAATGGCTGAGTTATGGTTGTCTGCTGGGAAACAGATGAGATCATGCCATGAAGCAGTCCCTTTTGGCATCTGGCTTTTTGCTCATTCTTAGCTGCACAGTGCTTTATTGCCAAAGGACCCATCCAACATTTCAAAGCTACTGAAAAAGCTCTTCTTTGGGAATGCATTTATGATTACAGAGGTTCTTGCACTGGTGCTATCTGCTCCTCTCTGTGCTCTAATCTGAGGGCAGAAATAGTTTCCTTTGACTCAAATAACTGGTTGAGCAGAGGCCTGTCTGGGTGTGATGTATTGAATTATGATAGCTGGGATAGTATACTTCATAATCTGTTCTGCTGTGAAACTCTGTGCAAGAAATAAGCATTTTTGTGCAAAGTCATACATTTGTTTATTCCCTCACCTTGTTTATAGATAAGCTTTAATTGATCCAACACAACCAGACAGACGTGGTTTGGATCCCACAACTATTAGGTAGATAGTTCTGCCCATGCTGAAATGCAATTCTTGGGGAAATCAGGGTCACTTCTCCTAGTACCTTCCTCAGACTGTCGTACTTCAGATGTGGCAGATGCTTAACTTTTGTCAGTGTCTTTTCAGTCACGTTTTACAAGCAGCTATTGATGAATTGTCTCATTGCTATTAAACAGTATGAGGGCTGAACTTACCCTCAAATAAGCCATTAATAGATATTATTAGATAATATTTTATGTGATCATTCATCAAATCAAAGACTGGACTGTCCCACAGTTTATGGTTATGACAAGCTATGCGATAAGTATCAGTGGTACACAAACAACTTCTCAGTTCTTTTGAAGCTCTCTACAGAATGCCTTTAGCAATTACTGTTAAAATCACAATATTCACATATTGTTGCTTCCATTTACATATCAGTCAGCCTGAAGGTTTGTGCGTTCAGAGGAGTGTTTGTGGTGTTGCCTCTCGAGGTCTTCTGCTTTTAAAACCAATATTTTCATTGAAATTTAAATCTAGGGTAAAATTACATAGCAGGAAAGGTCTTTTCTTTGAAAAAAAAAAATCTGCCACCAGCCTTTTATCTTGATGATAGGCACTGATATCGTGCTGTGCAACTGCATTTTGCTTTATATCATTCACTGAGAAACATATTCCCCTAGTTTCTCATCTTCAAGCTTTTTGAATTGGTAAATAAAGGGAAAACTTTTTGCTCCCAAACTAGATTAGTATCTTCTGGGCTAATCTAACCCATTTATGTGGGTACCGTATTACCAGAGAGGAGCAGATAAAGATTAGTACTGAGTGTGCCCTGACTTTTTTCTTCTGTGTAGTTAATTGTTGTTCAATGCATTGTGATATTCCAAAGAGACCCTGACCTTAAGGGAAATACAGTTCATAATTTAGTTAAGAATATGTTCACTTAAATTTTTAAGTGCTAAGGATTGTGAAAAAAAGGAAACCCTTCACAGGAAGGAGTGAGCCTTTTTCAATTCACTGATTACAGCCTTCTGTACAGTGTGCCTTATGGATTGGGGATGTCTTCCTTGTCCTAAGCTAATTTTTGGTACAGAGATAACAGCTATGGGATGAAGATTCCTTAGAGTGTGTGTATATGTGCAAACAAAGTTGTTTGTAGCACATCAAGCAAGAGATGACAGCTGACTGCAGCTTACCCTCACAAAGGGCCAAAATAACAGTGATAGTGCTATGTCAAGACACAACAGCGCTTTGCATAAAAAAAGATGGATTTTGGCCCAAAAGTTTAGAAAGCAGGCACAAGGAGCTGTCTGGGAAAGAACTCATAGATGTTTGTGGGACAGTTTTACCCATGAGGATTGTCTTGCATCCTGGAGAACAAGTTTACTCCTGCCTTAACAGGCATAGTTCCTAAGAGCTGGTATTTATAAAAGCATCATTCCATTCAGTTTTTAGTTAGGCAGTTACTTATACATGCAATGAGATCCTTTTTTAATTTGTTCTAAATCTCTACACAGCATGCTGTTATTGTGTGAACTCAATATTCATACAGCATGGAATAATGTGCAAAGGAGGGTTTGAGTGATTTTTTGTTATGCTGCTCTGAATTCTGCCATTTAGGACCAGTCACCTCTGACTCTCTTGGCTGTCTACTGCCATGAACTTGGATGTATCTGAGTATAGATAAACAGGAGACAGAAAGGCCATGGTGATCTCTTACAGCTCATTTCCTCGGGTAGTAGTTCAAAAAAGACATAATGCAACAAAAGAAGGAGTGCAAGACAAGAAAGCCAAGTGAATCTTGTCCACTAGTTTAGTAGCTGTCTTTGGACATGTAGTCTGGATTTCGGTTGTAAAATGGGATCCATTAACAGTGGATGAAGGTTGATTATATGACTGAAAAAATAACGTGGATGGTGCCTCAAAAGATCCTGCTCTTTAGCAGTGTATGACTTTTAAGTCATATGTCCTTATAGCACCTCATTTTTTTCATCTCGTTGATGAATTTGGTAGACAGTTCCTTATGTGAAGAGCTTAAAGTTTTGCGAGTAAAAAGAACTGCATGTGTATCAACTGTGGGTATCAATAATTTCAGGTGTCCACATTTTTCTCCCTTTTTATGGGCAATAGCATGCTTTTCTAAGTTTCTAGAAGATTTAGTGTAGCTTAATTGGTGCTGTATTCTGATCATCACTCGCTGTGCAATTGTTTGGGTGAAGGTGTATGGTCTTCTCAAGTTGTGCCCTTTTCCTCCCCGTGCAGCGTCCCATCATCTCCATCTGCTGGGGTCACAGGGATTCACGCCTGATGATGGCTTCTGGGCCTGCACTATATGTTGTCAGAGTAGAGCACAGGGTCTCCAGCCTGCAGCTTCTGTGCCAGCAGACCATTGCCAGCTGTCTGCGGGATGACAAGGATATCAGCAAACTCACCCTTCCCCCTCGGCTCTGTTCATACCTCACCACTGCCTTCATACCAACAATCAAGGTAAAAGGAAAGCAGCATGTGTGCGCATGGAAGAGAAAGGGGTTGCTTGATTTTCTTCTCCCTGCTCCTAAGTGACAATGGGTAAAATCCTGACCCTACATAAGTATGATAAAAAAGCGTGATTAAGGGTCACTCCTGTTCAAGGACAGCAAAGTCGGTGATTAGTATGGTGCCTACTGAAATGTGAAAAGAAAGCTTACACACACTGATCTGTACTATTGTGCCTGGATGGCTTTTCCAAGGGCATTCCAAGGTACAATATGCTGTTAGCTCAGGAAGACTGCAGAAGTAATTGTGTCATAGTTTTAGGAGACATTCACAGTGGTAAAACTGTTACATCTCTCCTTGTTGCATGACTCCTTATATTGCCAGGAAAGGTATACTTAAGATCCATGTCTACCCAAATATCTCTACTGACCGTGAGTTCTTCTAACCTTACTACTCCAACAGTGCTATGAAAAAATAAAGCAGATATTATATCTTTTCTTGTACTACTAGCAGAGCTGCTTGCAGAGCCATCTGCTCAATCTTATCTTTTCATACTTTTGCTCTCAGGTACATCTTAGGATTTCTGAACTCTATCACAGCCTGTAAACTAGAGCATTAGCTAGTACATGTCCTACATCCAGATATGTGTTCTCGTGTTATGTATTTTTTGTGCATGCTTAACAGCATTTTCTCAAACAAGTTTTGAGCCATCATTGTAACATATGACTCTAGAATAACTAATTTGAAATCTGTCAAGTTGGCCCAGCTTAAATAAGAGCAAATTATGCTTGTAATGTAATGGTTCAATACAGTTCCATTTGTGGATTGTGTACCCTCCTAATCAGGGCAATTTGTGTGACTGTGAAACATTTCACTTACCAGAGAAGAATAAATGCCTTGCTGTAACCATGGCTTCTTGATCTCCAGAGATACAGAGCATTCAGTAGACCAGTGGTAAAGAAACACACGTTAGTGTTATTGGTGTTGTACAGGCTATATTGTCATAGACAAAAGCAGTTTAACTGCCTTTGGACTGTGTTCTTTGTGGATTAATGCAGCCTGCTGGCAAGCAGGGCAAAATAACCCACCTTGAGTTTCAGACTCATATTTCTCTACACAGCATGCAAATAGACCCTCATCAGAGATGGGTCGTGTATTGGGAAGTGAGTGGGATTGATAGAAGAGTACAAGCTCTTTCAAGAGCTGACAACATAGTAGCATAGTGTTATAGAATGCACCAGTACTAATGAGGAATGGGAACGTGAATGGCCAAGTTCACTTTTGGGGACAGCAAGAGAGAAGTCTGAAGCTTTGACTTGACTGTGTTACCCAAGTTAAAATTTGTTATCAAGTTTGTGATTGATGGAGCTGGAATTTGAATACAGATTTGTTATCTACAAGTCCAGCCTTCCTCTTTGGTATGATTACTCTAAGTTTCTCAGTTTTAAGCTGTTTTAAGCCTAACTGAGCAATAAACAGCCCCACTGTTTTGTGTGTCGCTCATGTATAACCCACAGAGTAAAGTGATCTGCCAAGTTAGAGTTGGATTCAAGTTCAGTTAGTCGTGTCAAGATTAAATCATCCCCCCCAAGAAAAAGAACAATAACCTATGGGAAACTTTCTCTTTCCTTCCTTCATTTCATTAAGCCTCCTATCCCAGACCCAAACAATATGAGAGATTTTGTCAGCTATCCAACAGCTGGCAATGAACGTCTTCATTGCACGATGAAGCGGACAGAAGATGACCCAGAAGTTGGTGGTCCGTGTTATACTCTGTACTTGGAATATCTTGGGGGATTGGTGCCCATCCTGAAAGGACGACGTATCAGCAAGTTGAGGCCAGAGTTTGTCATTATGGATCCTAAAACAGATGGAAAAGCAGGTAAAAGTGAACTGTAGCACTGCATAAAAATGATTTTAAAAGACTTCAGGTATTAAGAGTTCAACAGTTAAAGAAAATCTTTATAAGAAATATGGAAGCTGGTATCCGTTTTTTTCCTTCTTTTTCTGCTGGGGAAGAGTTTTTAGCATGATCTAGGCTCAAGCCTCTCAAATTATATCATACTGTCAAAGAGAACTTGTTATATTTTGAGTAGAAGAGAATAGATTGGTAATTAGCAGAAAATATTTTTCAGTCTCAATTTTGAAGTCACTTGAATGTGATTCAGCCCTCTGAATCATGTACACTTGAGTTTAGACCACTGGAAACTTGGGCTAGGCACGGTGAAGAACAGTTAATTATGTCTTTATACTTTTATCTCATCTACCGCCCATGGATCAGATTTATGCTTCTGATGACTGATAGTTGTAATTGATATCAGTTTTCTGAAGCAGCACTTACATTTTTTGGGGCCTGTTTTGATAGATGAAATCTATGGAAACAGCTTGATTTCCACTGTGATTGACAGCTGCAACTGCTCTGACTCCAGCGATATTGAACTGAGTGATGACTGGGCAGCAAAGAAATCTCCCAAAATCAGTCGAGCTAGCAAATCACCCAAACTTCCCAGGTAATCATTTCTTGGATATTGCCTCATCTTTTTCCCCAGGTTTTCTTTCTGTCTCCCTCCCTCCCTTTCTTCCATTCTAACAGTGTCTTGACACTTCATAAAATTTAAAGCAAACTGCTTTGGGCAGATAGGAGCCTTCCGGAGCACTGAGGTCCTCTGCCATGTACAGTTCCAGACTGATCTCAGATATTGTTGTTGAGGTGGACTTTGAGGAAAGTGCTGGGGCAAAAGGTAATGGGAAGCAATAAGGCACCCTTCTTCCCCAGCATCCTCAATTTTCACAAGTAGGCTCAAAGAAAAACCTTATGAACTCTCCCACTTCTGCTCTGCTGTACATGAACTCTTGCCGCCATGGAATGTATTTCATCCTTCAGACAGTTCATGTTTTAAGTCTTCTGTGCTTAAAATCCCTGATCTAGTTAAAGACTGTACTTCCTCAGGGGTATTTTCAAGTTCAGAAATCCATGCGATTGATCCAGTTATAGGGAGCACATCTGTTGCTGTGGCGACCTTGCAAGGAAGAATTAGCAAATATCCTCCCGATCACTGAGTTGACAAGGCTTTGTAATGGAACACAGAATGAGTTTCTAAGTTGTTAATGTGTCTGATTGCTCTCCTGCCAGCTCTTCATTACGTTTATTATGTGCACAGACAGAACCCTCCACCTGCGCAGAGCCTCATGGGTGTCTGTGATGGTTCTCGTAGGCACTGATGTCTGCATGCCAGCTTCATGTTACAGGTTTGATGCCTTTCAGTTGCAGACAATGCCTTTCCAAAGACTTTATAGTATAAGGCTGTCCTAGCAGAAAGCAAAGGAAATGTGTCTATTTATATGTGAATGTAATGTGTGAAAGTTTTTATTTCAGTAGTACTTGACAAAAGAGCCATGAATACCTGAACCTAAAACAGAAATAGCTCAGGTAAAGAAACTGTCTTGCTGCTTGGTTTTCTGAAAGCTTTTGCTTTTGCTCTTTCTGTTTCCCACCAGTGAACTTTTTCAGTTACATTATCTCTTCTTACTCACGATGCCCTTTGTATAATGTGGGGCAGGAGTATTTGGCTCAGAGTGAGATCACTGGTTATGGAGCCTTGATTTGCCATATTAATGCAGAGATTTGCCAACTGAAGTGTCATGTTTCTATTTCTTGAGGGTTTGCTTGAAGTCTGAAGCTGAAATAACTCAGCTGTACACTACTTTATTAATTCATGGAGGATATACTACATCTGGTAAACTTTCTTAAATGATTCTGAAGATACCCAATCTGAGTAACTGCAAATGTACCAAGCTTTACACATTTTTACATTTAAACTGTAACTCTCGACAGTGTAGATTATATAGTCTACACTATGCTAGGGGCTGGTGCTCTTCAATATCTTCATCAGTGACAAAGATGATGGCATCGAGTGCACCCTCAGCAAGCTTGCAGATGACATCAAGCTGAGTGATGCAGTCGACACATGGGAAGGAAGGGAAGGCATCCAGTGGGAACAGGACAGACTGGAGAAGTTGGCTCATGAAAGCCTAGTGAGATTCAGCAAGGCCAAATGCAAGGTGCTGGCACTTGGGTCGTCAGGACAATCCCGGGTACTTATACAAACTGGGGGAAGATCTCCTTGAGAGCAGGCCTGCAGAGAAGCCCCAAATCCTTCTTCTGTTGGACAAGAAGCTGGACATGAGCCAACAGTATGCACTTGCAGCCTGAAAGGCCAACCGTGTTCTGGACCGCATTAAAAAAGGGTGGCCAATAGGAATAGGTAGGAATAGGAAGGTAATTGTCCCTCTCTTCTCAGCTGTTGCAAGGCCCCATGTGCAGTACTGCATCCAGGCCTGGGGCCCCAGTACAGGAAGGATGTGGAGCTCTTGGAGTGGGTCCCAAGGAGGGCCACTAAGATGATCAGAGGGCTGGAGCACCTCTCCTATGAGGAAAGGTTGAGGGAACTGGGCTTGTTTAGCTTGGAGAAGAGAAGGCTCAAGGGAGACCACATTGTGGCCTTCCAATGTTTGAAGGGAGAGTATAAACAGGAGGGGGAAAGGCTGTTTACAAGGATGGATAGTGATAGGACAAGGGGGAATGGTTTTAAACTGAGACAGGGGAGGTTTAGGTTATATATTAGGAGGAAGTTGTTCACCCAGAGGTTGGTGACACACTGGAACAGGTTGCCCAAGGAGGTTGTGGATCCCTGGAGGCATTCAAGACCAGGCTGGATGTGGCTCTGGGCAGCCTGGTCTGGTGGTTGGTGACCCTGCACATAGCAGGGGGGTTGAAACTCTATGATCATTGTGGTCCTTTTCGACCCAGGCCATTCTGTGATTCTTCATTAGACGCTGTACCAGCTGCCTTCATTACCATCTTTATATTCCTAAGCATGTTTTTTTTGCAGTTTTGCATGCCAGTTGATTATTCTAATTGTTGCTTCCTATGCAGAATCAATATAGAGGCTCGCAAATCTCCAAAGATGTCACGAGCTGCACAGGAGATATCAAGATCACCAAGGTTACCAATAAGGAAACCTTCTATTGGTTCACCAAGCCTAACCCGAAGAGAGTTTCCTTTAGAAGATATTACTCAGGTATTGTGTGCATTATTACCAGACCTGAGCCCACATGCTGTGGTACACATCCAGTGATCCTGAATAATTTTTTTTCACTTCTTTACAGCTACTAGATGGAATGCTGCTATAATTGCATGTTCCAAGTCAATATTAATGTTTGGAAATGTCAGTGGAATATCAGGCATTGTTTGCTAAGTTCTGCCCCCAGTAATTTTGTCAGTGTGAATCCATGTGAGAGGTTTTATATGAGTTGATGCTGTTGGCTGTTTGAAAAGTATATGTAGAAATGTTTCTTATTCCGTTTTTCTGAGCTGTCCTAATGCCACTGTAGTTCCCTGATTTGCTAGGGATCTGCAGAGACAAGATTGCTCTACAGGGCCAAATGTTCTCTGTTTTATAATTGTGTGGAACAGCCTTAATTGGAAGGAAGGCAAGAAATTAGCACTTGGTGTTCTTTGTGTTGTTCACATTCTGTGGGTAAATGAAACTTAGCAGCCTGTAAAACTGTCTGGATTAGATACACATTTAATTAATACCAGTCTGAATTCTTTTTGTTTTGTATTGTTTCAGCTGTTTTTTTCCATTCTGTCATTTCTCTTTCTCCTTCTTACAAAAATCTTATAGTAGGTCAGTTACACAGCAAAACAGGACATGAGACCAAAGGCTTGGATCTTGTTCTGATGTGGACAGCATAGCTCTTGGCTTCTGAGAAAATCTTTTAATCATTCATACCCATAATTTGATCACCATGGAAGCAGTGGTTTGGGAAACTGCTTTGGAAGCTGGTTAAGAATAGTTCATTTATATTTTATTTATTGTTTTGTAAAGTGATTCTGAAGCATAGAACCAAAGGACAGACAGTATTATTTTCTGAGATACAAACTAGTTGAACTCATAATGTACAGAAGAAGCAAGCAGTCGTGTTCTTCTAAGCAATGTTGTTTAGATGTTAATCAACTTTCACTACTTCCACAGCTTTAACTGATTGTTGTAGATGTAATTTCAGATGGTGTTCAGATGTCAAAATGAGGCTTTTTAATGACTGGATATAACAGTTCCTACACAGACACTTTAGGTATTTCAATTATTAAAAAAAAAAAAAGCTGAAATTGTATTATTACATAGCTTTATTGCTCTGCAGGTTCTATTAGAGCTTGATACAGATCTTACTAGGTGAAAATGATGTTGTTTTTTCTTTGTAGCACAACTACCTTGCTCAGGTCACATCTAACATCTGGGGAACCAAATTTAAAATTGTGGGTTTGGCTGCTTTCCTACCAACTAATCTTGGTGCAGGTAAAAGCAAATTCTGTTTCCTTTTGCATATTAAGCTTTCTAACAAATAAGAAATTTACAATATACATTCTTCTTAAGTGATCAAAAAGCTTCTTTAACAGAGCAGTTGTTTTCTCCGGACATTGGGAATTAGAATTTACAAAATTCTCTATACCTGAAAGAGATTCAGATCTATAAATACAATACTGAGGTGAAAATGTTAAAAGTCTCAGGTGTAATAGATTAATTAACAGTAAAGTACAGACCTTTATTCTTACAGTTTATTTGAACAAAACCCGAGATAATAGACAACATTTTTTGCAAGGAGGATATGAAAATCACAGTAGAAGTGTTTTTAAAAAATCCATTTTTTGTAGTAATTTACTTGCTAATTATACCAAAATAATGTAAAAATCACTCTTACAGACCATGCTGAAGATTCTACAAGTCTCAGTGGGTAGCATTATCACATGATTCTCTTTCTGGGTTATTCCTAGACTGGTAGCCTTAAAAGTAGTGATTGTCTGCTCTTTTGATCTTTTTCTGGGTAGGCCTTTTCTCCCTAGACAGTCCTACCGAAAGAAAATGGCTAGCAAAGAGCAGGGTATTTTGTGGAATAAATAGCAGGACTGAGCTCTGAACTGGAATACCAACGGAAGCTCTAAGAACTAATAACAATGCCCTGAATGCAAAATTAAACAGATATTTTTTGTGTCTGTGTTGACTACTATCAGACAAGAGATGGAATCCTAGCTACTGGCAAGATGAACCCCTCTGAACCAGCCTTGGAGCAAAGATTGTCCTCAGGTTTTGTCACCCCACAGACAGCTACTGTAGGGCAGTGGCATCTTCTGCTTACTGAAGTGTTACACAGTGGTTGATTCCAGCCACTTTGTTTTACAAGTCCGTTATCAGTTTTTGACATCCACATTTACAATGATTGCCAAAGGATAGTGTAAGAATGACTGTACTGGGTCAGATCAGGTGAATTTCTAATTCAGTATTCTCTCAGTTTCAGTGTAAATATGTAGAGAATTATATGAATGTAGAGTAAATGTGCAGTGGTACTTCCTTCAGATACTGTCCCTGCAGGACCTGGGTCTCAGGGACTACCTGAGCCAGGAGAGTTTCCTTTGTATGTAATAAGCAGATTTCCTTTCTGAGCACTTTCTCATTTTCCCCTGAGTTCTTATAAGTATGTGGCATCCTGTGGTGAAGAGTTCCAAAAGTAGAATAGAAAAATAATTTTCTTTCCTAAAAATAGATGCAAGTACAGATGAAGTAATTCATTTTTTCCACAGCTTAACTAAAGAGATGCTGCTTTTGTTTAAGGAGAAATATCTGAAAGAAGCAATCCCTATTGTCTTCTTTATGCAAAGTATTACATAGTGATTTGGTTAAGAATGTCTCATATATGCATTTGCTTATTAATAAATCACATAGAAATTATAATAGCCCTTCTATCTGCTTTGAGTTAATTCTTTTTTAGCTTTATCTGCTCCTTGTGTAACCATTTTTAAAAATTATTTCTTGTCACATTCTGTCTCCAGTAATATATAAAACCAGTTTGCTGCATCTTCAGCCCAGGCAGATGACAATCTATCTCCCAGAAGTGCGAAAGATTTCCATGGACTACATTAACCTGCCTGTCTTTAATCCAAATGTTTTCAGTGAAGATGAAGATGATTTACCAGGTAAGGAGGAATTTAGGCCTCTCAAATCACAGCTCTAGCTAGCTGGAGGACAGATCAGCTCCCTCTGATAAATACACAAATCAAAATCCCTTAGTCTGGTGGAATCCTGTAGAACTGGGTTAGAACAAAACTAGTGCATATTACAAATGTTGTTTTATAAAGACATAGAAAAATGTATTGCTTATACAGCTAGTAAGCTTCATGTGAATTGGAACATTAATCATCTTCTACTTAGTTCGCTAGCAGTTTTCTGTAGATTGGAGCCTTGCATTCTGCATCTTTGTAGAACAGAACTGTATTGTGTTGGAAGTCTAAAGGGGTTGTTCTTGTGAGTTGATGGAAGCAAAGCACAATCTGATGGCAGGAGCTTGGGCCAATTCCTGACTAACTCAGACACATTTTGTAAAGTGTTAAATCCCCTTTCGTATTTTTATCAGTAAAGGAGCTTACAAGGAGGCCAAAATAGTAAAGTGTTAGGTAAACAAGGAGGATCGGAAAGGAATTTCTAATTTCACTAAGATGTAAGGTAGTGGGACATTCAAGCAGTACAGAGAAAGTTTGGATGCAGGTGATTTGAGTGTGATAGGTAAAAGAGTAGGAAGTACTAAGAACCTTCTCCAATTAAGAATAACAATAAAATGAATAGCCATGAAGTTAAATTAATGCAATTTCCAAATTCTCATATCAGTGAGAGATTTGTGTTTCCCATATTGTAGTTTTTTGGAACTATAGAAGTGGCCTCCATGAACAGACAGCACTCTTTAAGGAAGAATAAGTATGAGCACTGAAGAATTAAATTGAAAGTTCTCACACTGTTTTGGATCTTTTGAGTGCTGAAAGCTCACACGCTTGTGAGTGACCCAAGCATCAAAGTAGCCCTCTGTGTTTTTAAAGAAATATTAAAGTGCTTAAAGTGAAGCCCATTTCCCCATGATTCAGGGCTTGTCTTGCTTAGTTTGTGTCTACCTGATATGTCTACCTGTAGGATCTGAAGAAAGAAATATTTTCTTCAGAAAGATTTGAAAAAAATAGTAGAGACATTGGTGATCATATATATTATGCGCTCAACAAATTCTCCTATGAAACTTATTTCATGCATGCAGAAAAAACAGAAAAACTGAATAGAAAAAGAAAGTTAATGTAAAGTTTTTTGTGTCCCTTCCTGATGTGCAATATCAGTGCTTTTAATTTTATTAGAAGAGCTGAAACAGTGTTCTGAATTACAAGCTGGTAAGCACCACGGAAATATAGGGAAAATTGTGAAGAGTTTTCTTCCTGCTCTTTGAGAAACATAGTAAGAGTGATGATAGATTATCATCCGTAAGAGCCTTCCTCTTCTGCCCACTTTTTTCTTTCAAGTTTCTTCTGACTTGGCAAACAGGCTATTGAAATTTTCGAAAATCTCTCAAGAATTCTTTCTTAAAGCCAGTAAGTATACAATGGCAAGATGGCTCCATACAAATGGAAAAATGTATTGCAGTGTAAGTAATGGCTACCTGAGAAATTTAAAGGCAAACAAATGAAAAAAAAAACCAGCAGTAGAAATTGCTGTTGGGCAGTGGAATTTGTGAAAGTACTCTGGGTGAGGTGCTTTTTAATGTAGTCAGTAAAGATTTGGCAGGGCAAAAAAACAGTGAATCGATTTAACTTGCAAATTATGCAAACAAATCAATTAAAAACCATTGGAGAAATGAAAAAAAAAGTTAGATTTAAACACATTGGGATATTAAGCAACACCGTGACAAATGAGATGTTATTTGGATAGGCATTTAATACCCATGACAGCAACATTCCAGATTGCTCAAGCAAAGCTAACAATTAAACCTTAAGCTTAAGAGCACAAATTGCTAGCTCAGGATGAGTGCATGGCCTGCCAGCCAGGCACAAAATTGCTCTGCCTTAGGGCTGCTGAAGTTTAGCTGTCAGCCTTCTAAAGGAACAAACAGAGATACTGTTAAAACTTACCAACATATCCACAAATATCTGCACACCTTCCACATTCCACTGTGGCTACTAATATTGATAAAAACCTCATGCTATTGGAAGTGTAATTATAGGGCATGAGTAGGTGACTAGGATTTTAATTAGAAATTAATTACGAACTAGGCAGTGACTGGATTAATTCTGACTAATGGATCTCTTGCCTGATGAGTTCTTGCAAACCACAGATCTCCATAGAATTTGCTCGCACAAATGATCGTGGATAGAACTCTAATTTCCTGCCAGAAACCTGCTTGATACAACTTGCTTATTATTTTGCGTATTTTTTTTTGTGCAGAACTAGCGAAAACTCTTAGGTTCTCTTTTTGTTTATATGTTATTATTCTTTTCTATCTATCTTCCTTCTTATTTTGACTTTTGCATCTGCATTTGCTTTCAGTGTTCTCCTTTTCCTGTTGCTCTCTGGCTTTTCAGTGGTAGCTCTTCCTGGAATCAGTCTTACTGCTTTTTGCAGAAGGAATTCCAAGCTGCTGGGGCACATTCCATGATTTTTGCTTATAATCACAAGAATTTCTACGCTGTCACTTGTTCACCACCACTTGTGGGAAACTTTTGTCTATTCATCTGCTTCTTTTCACATTTCTGATTGCAGCCTGTCCAAACATTGATGCTGAAGTTTCCTTGATTTCAACACTTAATTCTTGAATCTCTCTTACTTCCCATGTATTTCCTCACATCTTTTCTACACCAACCTGCTTTCAACAGCTTCTATAAGTTTTGTCTGTATTTCATTCCATTGTATTCCTCTCTCTGTTTCATATTCCTTCTCTTTATATTAGAGGTTGCTCTGTCATTCACTATACTCAAAGGATAATACTTGCCTTTTCCCAGCTGATAACTGTATTCTCCAGTTTGCCGAAGCTCACCAAGTCTGGGAACATTATGCTAACTGATATAGTGCTTTCATTGCTGATCTTCCACTTTCTTCATCTTTTCCTTGGCATTTTGTGTGTGTGTGTGTGTATGCGTGTATGTGTGTGTGTGTGTGAGAGAGAGAGAGAGAGAATGCATATCAAACATCTAAGTCAGTGCTGGTAATTGCTGTCAGGTCAAGGCAGGCTTATAAGCATCCTCTGCCCGAAGCTCTCTCCAGCAAATCAAAGCAGCACCTCACTGGCTCTAGAGAGTGTCAGCCTGGATCAGTGAGGGCTGTTTTGTGCCTTACCACTACATAGCAGCTGCCCTAAACAAAGCCTGGGAGCCACATCCAGTAGCTTTAGGATTAGAGGCAAAGAAGAGGTGCCAGCAGCCAGGTATCTATGGGTAGATTTTCTTTTGTATTGTTTGATTGTTGATATCTTTATTATCAAAACAACTTAGCTGAAAACTAATGTGAATCTCGATTCTTAAAACTTTGTTTTGATTTAAGTAGTGTTCATTACAACTGGATGATGAGTGAGTGCTAGTTCAGACCCACCAGGTAAACCCACTGCTCTGGGAAAGTTCATGGGAATCATAGTGTGGCCTAAACGTGAGTGCTGAACTTTACTTCTGAAGTACCACTGCCACGAAGTTAACTTAAAATTGATCTCCAAATGTAAGAAATGTGCAATGGGAGTCAGTGCAGATAGTCTGGGTTACTTGCTCAAACTAATGTCTGACCCACTGATTTCAGGTCTGATAGCAGCCCTTCCAAATACTGCTGAGCTCCTAAACACATAAAGATAAGCAGGCAGTTAAAAAGTCAAGGGTAAAACAAAATGACAAAGTACAAAAGACGTGCAGTGGTCTTTTTTTTCCCACTAACTTTAAAAACAAATTCCCCCCAGTTCCTGAATTTCATGTTAACACTTCCATGAACTTTCCCAGTGGCACATTTTTTAGCTGCCCAAATATCTTCCTCAAAGTACTGAATAAAAGCAAAAAATACATGAAATGCCATTTCTGGAGGTTTTTGTGGTTTGACGCTTGCTGTCCTTGTGTGTGCCTAAGCACCATGCTTAGCAAAGGCCAATGGGCCCTGAACTAGAGCAAGCAGAGGGCAATTGGCCTTGCCACATGCAGGGAGGCTAGCGAGTGACGGGCTGTATTGTTCTTTGCAGTGCCTGGAGCTCCAGGTGCCCCTGCCAGCAGCCCACCCTGCACCGTCAACATCCCCATTGCCCCCATCCACAGCTCAGCCCAGGCCATGTCGCCCACGCAGAGCATCGGCCTGGTCCAGTCGCTGCTGGCCAACCAGAATGTGCAGCTGGATGTTCTGGCTAACCCTCCGGCCGAGACAGGGGGTGAGGGGCCAGGACCCTTCCCAGGAGCACCAGGCCGATTCCCTGGCCCTGGCGCAGTGGCACCAACCGGTGGAGATGTGGCCCGCGCTGCCCCTGTTCCTCCCACTATTGCCCCACCACCCCCCGCCATCGCCCTTGCCGACCTCCGGGACCATGGTGACCGTGAACACGAGCCCCCGCTCAAGGCCAAGCCCCCGCGTCCAGGACCGGGACCACAGCTAGTGGAGAGCGATGCTGTCATCTTTGGGGCCGCTCAGGAGCTGCAGCTGAACAAGATGAACCCCCCGCCACCCTATCCTGGCACTGTTCCCACGGTGGGCCCCCCGCCACCCCCACCTGTCCCCCCACCTCCGCCCCTCGACCTCTGCCTGAAAAAGGGGGAGTTCTCCCTTTACCCTGCAGGGCACTACCAGCCGCCCCTGGGGTACGAGCGAATAACAACATTCGACAGCAGCGGGAATGTGGAGGAAGTGTGCCGACCTCGTACCCGCATGCTCTGTGGCCAGGGCACCTACACCCTGCCAGGGCCCGGCAGCTCTGCCACTTTGCGCATCACCGCTGCCGAGAAGAAGATGCAGCAACCCTGCACCAGTGCCACCCTGAACCGGCTGACAGTTCCCCGTTACTCCATCCCCACTGGGGACCCACCGCCCTACCCCGACATTGCCAGCCAGCTGTCACAGGGCAGGAGCATTGCACAGAGGCTGGACAGCAGTATCATCCATGCTACTTTGCGGAGGAACAGTAGGGAGGCAGCGCTGAAAATGGCCCAGCTGGTGGACAGTCAGAGAGCCACCTTGCAGCTTCCCCCAAAAGCCAAGAGCAGCGTTGTGACGGCACAGTACCAGCAGAGAGTACCCACTGCTTTGTACACCTGCAGCCAGTGCAGCAACAGTGGCGGCAGCAGCACCACGAGTGCTGGTGGTGTGGGCAACATCACTAATGCCAACTCTGGCAGCAGCACTTCCAGCATTGGTGGCATGAGACCTGATATGAGCACGGGGAGCAGCTCCCAGCACAGCTCTGTCATCGCTCACTCTGTCAGTACGTCACCTTTGGCCTCCCAGTCCTCCTACAACTTGCTGAGCCCACCTGACAGTTCCCGTGACCGGGCAGATTATATCAACTCTGCCTTTACGGAGGATGAAGCCCTTTCTCAGCACTGTCCAGTGGAAAAATCGATACGGCACGTACCTGTGGCCTTGACGGAGGCTGCCATCGGTGTAAAACGGCCACCGCCGTACCAGTGGGATCCTATGGTGAGTGAAGAGATATGGGTTCCTCAGGAAAGGACATCTCAGAGCTCTGTACCCAACCCTTTAAAACCAGCCCCTCTCATCATCGGTCAGACTCAGCACCTGGATATGTCTCGAATGCCATTTGTCTCCCCTAAGTCTCCAACGAGTCCCACTGCCACTTTCCAGACAAGTTATGGGGTCGGAATACCGTACCCAGGAAGCTACAGTGCCCCTCCCCTTCAGGGAATGCAGCCCCCATGCTCCCCCAAAGAAGCTCTGGCCCCAACACAGTTTGCACAGCAGGAGCCCACAGTAGTGCTTCAACCAGGTTACCCACCCAACCTCTCCTATTGCCCTTTGCCACCCATGTATCCGGGAAGTAGCGCCTGCTCTAGTTTACAGCTGCCACCGATAGCCTTGCACCCATGGAGCTCCTACAGCGCATGCCCACCAGTGCAGAATCCCCAGGGCACTCTGCCTCCAAAGCCGCTCCTCGTGGTGGAGAAGCCGGTTATGTCTCCCCCGCCAACCGAGCTCCAGGGCCATGTGGGTACAGAAGTAATGGTGGAGACAGCAGACACCTTCCAGGAGGTGCTCTCCTTGACAGAAAGCCCTGTTCCTCAAAGGACAGACAAATTCGGCAAGAAGAGCCGAAAGCGGCTGGATAGTCGTGCTGAGGAAGGAAATGTGCAGGCTATCACTGAGGGCAAGGTCAAAAAGGATTCGAGGACACTGACTGACTTCAATTCGCTAATATCCAGCCCAAGGCTGGGCAGAGAGAAGAAGAAAGTCAAGAGCCAGAAAGACCAGCTCAAGTCCAAGAAGCTGAATAAGACAAATGAATTTCAGGACAGTTCAGAGAGTGAGCCGGAGCTTTTTATCAGTGGGGATGAACTGATGAACCAGAGTCAGGGCAGCAAAAAGGGTTGGAAAACCAAAAGGAATTTGAGGACAGCCAGTGAGCTGGATGAGTTCAAGTGCCGTAAGGCCAGCGAGAAGGAGGACGGGAGACTGGGGAGCCAGGGCTTTGTGTACGTGATGGCCAACAAGCAGCCGCTGTGGAACGAGGCAACACAAGTCTATCAGCTGGACTTTGGAGGGCGAGTAACCCAGGAGTCGGCAAAAAACTTCCAGATTGAGCTGGAAGGACGGCAGGTAGGAGAGCAGTGGCAAATGCTGTACCTGGGTGGGAGTGTGGGTGCCAGGATCCAGCCTGCCTCTATGCAGCGCAGTGCCTCCAGCTCACATTGCCTGCTGTTTGGGGAAAAACACACAGAAAACAAACAATAAAAACCAGCAAAGTGCTAGATTGAGAAGTAAGGATGAAGTGCAGTTGTAATGTAAATGTACCAGACATATTCAGTATTATCCCAGTAAGACATAAGAACAAAGGCTTCCTTTAATATCGCTAGTTTTTACTTCTGAAGGGAAGTAGTTTTTGTAATAAATCAGTTGCATAAAGTGGAGAAAAGTGCAACAGATTTCCTTGAGTGTAGTTACAGTTGAAGTCAGTGGGTTTGGACGATAGCTCATTTAATGAACACTGCTCAGTTCCTGTGGCAGTTACATGTGCTTTGTTCAAGAGAACTGATGGGGGTTCAATTAGGTTCCCTCAATCAAAATTTCCCCTCCTGAGTTATCAGGCCTTGGCAGCTTGTTCTTAATCCTGAAGGTACAAGAGGAGGCTCTGACCCTCTCCCAGAAAGAGGCTCAGTGGCCCACTTTTAAGCAGCCTATGGATATTTCCTAGCTTTACGTTTCAGACAGCTCTCGCTGCCCCTTTGCTAATTCATTCTCAGTCTAATTGTTTTCTAGGAAAGTTTATACAAAGGAAAATAGAACTGCTAAAGAAATACAGCATGCTAAATGTGAGGTGCTGTAGACAGAAGATTGGTTCTTCCCTTTCTCTGAAAGCTCCTTCCTTTGAAAATGAAATCTGTTTTCCTGATGGTGCAATGATGGAATCTCTCCAATGGAGAGAACATTTTCCTGCATAAAGAAGGATGCTGGTATGACCCACATCTTTGAGGTCATTGGAAACATTGTTCTTACGCCAACGCTTTATAGTGTTTATGTATGTTTTAATGCTCAATTTACAGAGTGAAATATTAGTCAAGTACTCTATGTGGTCCATTATTACAGTGCACTTACTCTTCGTTGTCCTCCCACTCCGTGCTGTGACTACCCCATATTAATTCAGAACGATTAACAGAAGTGTACTTATGAAGGGGCAAAAATATTTAACTCTTGTTCTTCTCTGTTTTCTTTTCTATGACTCACTGTTTTTGGCCTTGTTCTCTTTTTCCTTCCCCACTCTTACCCTGCTTCCCAGGTGATGCAGTTTGGAAGGATTGATGGCAATGCTTACATTTTGGACTTTCAGTATCCATTTTCTGCAGTGCAAGCCTTTGCTGTTGCTCTGGCTAATGTGACTCAACGCCTCAAATGAACAAGCAGAAACCTGGAGAGAGGAAAATGTTGTCAAAACCTTCTCATAGAGTCCAAACTGGAAAATGTCGGGGCAGCCTACGTTAGGTGCACTGAGGTGCCTGGAAGCGAAGAAGGCCGTAAAACTGGAAAAGTCTCTTAGTGCCCAACTGAAGGGCATTAACTCTAATCAGTCATGGGGTGGAGGGTGGGGGGCTTTCTTCTCTTTTGTTTGTTTGTTTGTTTTCAGGTGTTTTCTTTTTTTTAAAGCATTGTGCTGGGTTTCAGAAAGAGCAAAAGGTTGAGAGCCATTCAGTGTTCTGTGGAGAAGTGTGGCTTTTGGCTTGTTGTGATGGGTCTGCTGTGTTTGCTACAATAGCTGATGTAAGCTCATAGAGGGATTAAAAAAGACTGCTCTTTTTGATAGACTGCCTTATATCATGCTGTTCTTTTTAAAACAGGGAACATAACTTTTTTTCCGGTCCAGTTTGTACTACTACTACTACATCAATGATAGCAGCAAAAAAAAAAAAAGAAAAGAAAAAAGAAAAAAAGAAGCTATAATACTTGAAGACGCGTGTTTCTTCTCTGATCTCTGATAATAACTGAGTACCACAAGTTCCAGGGAGGCTTCTGTAGGTCAATATTTAATTTATACATAACGATGTGTTACTCAGAAAAGAAACAAAACTGTTACCAATGTGGTTTTAAAACTCAATGTATCAAATAAGTTGATGTCTGCTTGTTTTGTGTGCTGTTACTGGGGATAAACATCTTCCGTTGGGTGACAGAAAAGAGGGAAGAAAATAATTAAGAGCGTTCCTTCTTTGCTCATACTGATCAGCAGTATTCTTCAGTTTGGCCTGCAGCTGGAAGAGGTACAGTGTGACCAGATGTACCTTCAAGGCCATGCCTATACACACTCCTCATTTAAATGTGTTTACACTTTATAAACAGAGTCATTCAAGTGAATGAGAAGGCCCAATGTATTCATCTTCTTAGTAATCAATAGGAATCAAGTTCCACAACATTGTATCTGTGCTAAAATTAGGAAGGAGACAGAAGTATAGCAAGTCATTACAGGAAGCAATTTCATCAGGAAAGCAATTTTGTTACAGGAAACAACATCATGGCTGGCTGGAGGACAAATAAACTAAAAGTGGAAGGAAAAATTGGACAGAATTACTCCTTTTATCACCATTACTACTTGAGTAGTTCTTGTGACTGTAGTTTGTGAATATAATGCTACAGGTAAGAAAGAGTGGCAAGGCAAAGTTTAAATGGAGTGTTACAGAGAATGGCTTATTGACAGGAGGGCAGCTTGTTCTGGCTAAAGTTTAGTTTCTGGTGGACATGCAGCCTTGCTGACCATTTAGAAGGGTTGCTTGCACAGAAGGTTTTCTGTGTTGTCCATTTTTGTGTATGTATTTCTTCACTTTCTCTCTTTCCTCCTTGCCTGCATTTTGCTATAGAATACGTTCTGGTATGGAAACAGTTTCCACCGTGATACACAAAAACTGTAATTATTCCTGTAATTGTTTGGACATTAGATTACTAAACATGACTGCAGATTTCCTTCAAAAAATTATTCTTTTGATGTGAAAGGCACACTGAGGAAGATAAGTTAGTTGAGATGTTAATACTGCTTTGTCTTTTATCCAGTTTAACTTCTTACTTGAAAAGCTGTATAACATAAGATAAACAGTTGTGATTTTATCTCTCTTTTTGAAAATTCTGGTGGTAAGGCAGTTCTGTGTTGTATTTAATTCATTCTAGAGGAGCATACCATGTAAGAGAGGACCATGCTGTAGCAGAGCTTACCAGAATGCAGTGAACAAGAAACTTCTGCTCTGCTGACACTTATAAAGCAATACAGCACAGAGGGAATAATAAATATCAGTCAGAGAGGAGTTTGAGAGCTGCTAAGAGAGACTACGAGGCAGATCATCCACAGGTAAAGTCCCACAGGGTGAGTCCAGGAAGAACCCTTTGCAAAGTGGTTTCCTTGGAGAGGACAGTTAGAGGTAAGAAGGAAGGAAGGGCAGTAGATGGCACCATGCCTGTATGATCCCAGAGTTCAGGAGCTTCTGCTTACATGTCAGGCACAACATTCCCCTTGGCATTTAACAGACTTCATTTGCTTCAGTTAATTTTATTTTTTAATTTTATTTTATTATTGAATTTCTCTATGTTATCTGGCTTATTTGTATTTTTTCTCATGTGCATTACATATTCGGCAGCTTATGTGCCTGTATCTGTAATGTGTGTGGGATGGAGGAACTGAAATAATTTGGTCTGTTCCCTTTAAAATCTGGAAATTTTTCCCATTGATTTTTATAAAGGAAGCACGATTGAGCCATTTGTCTGCATTGAGTTACACCCTGTGCAGACAGTCAGTTGAATTCTCAGGTCTGCTGCTATCAATATGTGAGGAGGAAAGTTGGCAGATTAGTGTCCTTTCCTACCCAAAAGTCTGTGCTTACCAGTCATACCCAAATTAGAATGTAATGGGCATATGCTGAACAGCATAGACAAGAAATGTATCATGACATGCTCACTGTCTGGGAGAATGGCGACTCATTCACATTAGAAATCTTCAGCTGAAAGGAACGTTGCCTGCAGTTTTAAGCCAAAATTGTTACCATGTGCAAAGAACATCAGTGTTTTTTTTCTGAACAAAATCTGGTCTAATTAGGACTTCTGTGTGCAGTTTCATTAATCCTCCATGGAACAGTATTCCTCTTCACTTGATTCATAAGCAATTTTTTCCAATTATTAGTAGCTTTCTGCCAATGTATAACCACAAATCACAAACACATATAGCAGGTAACAGCTTACTAACTTGGTTCTGTTGGCCAAGCCTGTGATTGCATCGTTCTGGTGGCTTCTGCCCAAACAAAGCACAAGGAACAGCTATCATAAATCAGGAAAGTATACACAATTTCCAGCCTTCCTGTTTATTTGTCAGATGTTATAAGATAAGATACTTTTCTGTCTTTTTGAAAATACTTTGATAGAGTCCCTAAAGGGAATTAAAATTGAGGGTTGTAATGGTTTGGAGAATTAGAGATAGAAACTACTCTCAAATAAGTTGAATTGTAATGAAAGAAGTGGAAGTGGTGTAAATTCTGAGAGTGGAACTGGATCATGAATTGTATGAAGGACAAGTAAAAGCAGCAGTTCTTCTGTTTTTCATTGAGAGATATGATATATGACACAGATTTAAAAGCTCCCCCCAGTACATTCACTGAAATCCTGAAGATTGCTGTTGCATTCAGCCAAAAAACAGATTTTACACTTTATACTTAATTTGAAAGATCCAAGTTTTCTGTAGATAACGAAGTTCTTCTAGGGAGAATGTAGCAAGGTATTCAAAAATATTCTTCTTTTATACACACACAGGGATTTCCAGAAAATGTTTTTCCAAAGCCTTTTTTTTTTTTTTTTTTTTCTTTTTCAATTGTGCAATAGTTCTGACAGTCTGGGGGTCTTATGGGCTTTTTCATGGTTGTTTGTTTTATTCTGCTGCCTATTTTTTTTTTCTCTTTTTTTTTTTTTTAGGAAGTTCTGAGTGGTTTTTAAAGATAATTTAATGCAGATTTCTTGTTAACATCCAAAAGGCAAACTATTTATCTTGTGTAATATAATAAGTGATTAAGGGATTATTTTATTTCTATATATCAGTGAGCTATACACACTTTATTATTTATATTTAAAGAGCATATTTGTAAGTAATTGTATGTTTTGCTGCAAGAAGTTCAAAATGCATATAGGAAGACTTGGTTTTGTGGACTAGTATGTAAAATTTCATCATTCAGGCAGGCAGAAATATTTTGGCGTATCTAAAAGCAGCGAGTTTGCTTTGAAGGTCTGTGTAGACTACAAAGAATGTAGATGACTTCTTTGGGACCTGCAGAAATCTGTCCTCCACAGTTTCCCTCCTTTGTTTTGAAGTACATATTTCAATTGGGAATGCTTTTAAAAAATACAAAGCTTTCCCTCTTGTTTAGTGCAGTGCTTTTTCTCTAGTTATAAGATAGGCTGGCTTGCGTGATAAAAGAGAGTGTAACGATGTAGGCTCAGTTTGTAAGTTCATTGCATAGCCTGGTAGGATTTAACGGTGGCATACTTCAGTGCACTAGCAAACTAGCTTAGTATGAGCTAGATGAGGCACGAGAAAGAGTACAGCAGTAAATGTGTTTCTCTCTACTCAGGCTAATGCACTCCTTCAGCAGAGCTCAGCTGGTTCCAGCGCAGCCATAGTGCTGCTGATTCTTGAGTTAGCACTGCATGGAGCTGATTGAGCTGAGCCCTGACCTCTGCCAGTGGCACCTTCTCTTCTTCAAGGTGCTCCTCCACTGAGACACACTGGAGACAGTGTTCCTTCTCTCTTCTTTCCAGTTTAGCTCCAAGAGCAGCATGCAGCTGCCAGAGAGTTTGCCTGCAGCAGCTTTAAGCAGAGAAAGCCCCAATGTCAGTTGGTGGTTGTGTGGAATCTGCTCCTCTAAAGGTGCAAAGAGGTGTAATAGAGATCCTGATTCATTTAGAAAATACAGCTGATAGCCTCGAAATAAAGCTCCTAACAGAGTCTGTAAATTGGCACTTAAAGTCTTGTATGATATGCACCATGCACAGAGTGATTGATGTTGTCTTGAAGCAGTGGGAATATTGCATTTCTGCAATGCACGTATGGGAGAGAGAGATGAAAGAGTTACAGAAAGAATTTTCGTCGTAATAGTTATTCACTGAGTTCCAGAGGCAGCAGAAAGAGGTGCCATGGCTTGCTTGATCTTGGTTGTATGACAGTCAATCTGCACATAGGTTCATCTCAGATAAACCTTCCGTGTTACAGCCACAGAAAAATAGTTGTACATTTCTTTATCTAGTTTTGTTCTGTTTTTCTTTATGGAGCTGCACAAAGCCTTGAGCCTGGACAGTCTGACTTTCCCTCACGTGTCTTTTTTTTTTTGGTCTAAGAAATTCCAGACAAATGTGGGAGCTTGCCTGGTTGTTACCTCAGACAATTACTGTGCATTTGCAGCCAGATATGTGTTACCCTATGTTATCTTGGTGCCCTTTTACCTGTCAGCGACACTTTAAATCCATGTGCAAAAACTGATTTGAGTGAAAGAGAAGACAGGGTAAGTTTTGACTGGATTTTATGAATGTGTTTGCCAGAGCAAGTTTGGAAATCACACATTTCTGCAGATCCCAAACCACGCAACGCCAGTAAATCTGACCTGGGGATTAGCAGCAGATGAGCCATTTGCATGGCATGCTGACAGAGGGCCCGCTTCTCACCTCACCAGGTTACACTAAGGTACTTAAGAGAGGGGAATCGCACCCAAAATGCACTTTGCCATCTCTGTATGATTGTAAGGTAAGAATGACAGACTTGATCTGTATATCCATTTAAAACAACTGTACAGCATTAACGAACAGCTATACTGACAGTTCTGTGTAAACTCACCTGAAGCACTCTGGAAGTAAAATGGCAGCCACAAAGCAGTCTTAGAGAATTTTGCCTTATTTTCTCATTTCTAGGACTTCAACACAGGAGAGCAAGCTGTTCATGTGATTTAGAGGTTGGTGTAATGTTTTTCCCAGTATACGAGGGGAAATAATATACTGCTGACAAAAATGAAATAATTCTGGTAGAGGAATTTTTTCATTTTGAAGTCCCTTCACTTTCACAGCAAGCACAATCCTCCACCAGCAGCTACTGGCATAGAGCTCTGTTACCCTCAGGAGTATACTGCAGGTAGGGACCACGGTCCTTTTTGCAAGGTTGGAATTTACATGCATCATTCCCGAAGGAATAAGATTCATTACTGCTTGTGAAAGGTGGGCTGTGCAAATGATTATTTCATATTTATTTAATTCTTTTAAAAAAAATCCCGCAGAGATGTTTTTAGATTAAAAGATACAGCTTTGCATATTGCTTGGTACCTCTGGAGATGTATGAGGAGAACATTTCTTTTGGCAGTTGGATTGTTGCTCCATGTAGGAAATTAGATTTTTAAGAGAAAAAACAATTAACTGAATAAGAGAATGAAAAAGGATTCGGTGAAGCAGTTCTTGATACAAAAATTAAAAACTTCACCATTCAACTTTTGATTTTGCAATTGAATTTATAATGAGAAGTTTGTTCTTCAGGGCAAACTGATTGTTATGAAGCTCTGTGCAAGCGCATAGGTTTGCTGATCTGGAGCTTACTGCAGGATCAAAACAACATGATTATGTGAGATTTGCAAATAAATAAATGAAAATCTGGATACTTACTTATCCAAAGAGTTCCAAAGAGTATCCAAAGAAATTAAATGGTATGATGCCTTCCAGTGGCTGGAGAGGGCCTACACAAAAGCTGGGGAGGGACTTCTTATAAGGGCATGTATTAACAGGATGAGGGGAAATGGCTTTAAAATGGAAGAAGGTGGATTTAGACTGGATATTAGGAAGAAATTATTTACTGTGAGGGTTGTGAGACACTGGAACAGATTGCCTAGAGGGGTGGTGGATGCCCCCTCCCTGGAAGTATTCAAGGCCAGGCTGGATGGGGCTTTGAGCAGCCTGGTCTGGAGGGAGGTTCCCTGCCTACAGCAGGGGTTGGATCTAGATGATCTGAAAGGCCCCTTCCAACCCAAACCATTCTGTGATTCTACGATGTTCAAATGTGCCAGATCATTTTGAATCCTTGCCCTCCCATTTAAATAACTACAAATTTCAAAATATTGTCTGATTCAGCAATCCTGACAAATGTCATCTACTTGTGGAGTGGTTTTCTTACTGTCCAAATGGTTGGTTCTGGTAATATGGATCAAGATTAAAGTAATAATAAAAGAGAAACATACCAGTGTGCAGACACCTGAGTTTCAAGTATTTGATCAGGATAGAGCTCAGCTTATAATTCCTGCCTATTCTGTTTCAAACTATTTACTCAAAACTATCATAGTTTTCCCTTCATTTCTTTTGTTTGCTTTATACATGATTTGCCTTTGGTTTCCCTTCGCTTCACTGCTTCAGCATTTGTTTCTTCATTTTCTGTGTTGTGCATTTGGGGAAGGGTTTGTCTGTTCAAGATCTCGTTGTTTGTTGTAGATAAAGTATATGGTGTTGTGGAACAGCATGGAGATGCATTTGATTGAAAAGGCACTGTAGTGTTTCCTGAAAAAGTAAGGGAGTTGCATTTGCTTATTAAACGTGTTATTTTGGTACTATAACTTCGAACATGATTTTGGATTTTATTTTTTTTATTTAATTTAAGGAGCATATACAATCATGCAGGTGCACATGTTCTCAAGCTATCAAGCCCTGCGTGTTTTTCTTTTGAATGCTTTTGAAAATTGGTACACAGTTTGTGTGCTTTTACATGTTTTACATGGGGTTGTTTTTTTTTTTAGTAAATTTTGGGGAATCTTATGTTTTCTCTTTTTTTTTTTTTTTCCTTTTCTGCTCAGTGTACCATGGTATACCTGGTTTCCACTTTGTTTGTACTTAAAAACATATCTTGATCTGCCTCTCCTTTCATGTATCTTGTGTAATAGATTTTGCAGGAGGTGCCTAGAAAGCATTGTTGGTTTCCCTATAAAAATGTGGTTTGTCCAAATTCTTTACTGTCTACATGATTGGCAGATTGACTCATTGCCCTATTTTTCCTTGATGATTTGGAGTTGTAAGAGTTGTCCAGCTGTTGCTTAATAAAATTTTGCAGACTAGAAAATTCCTGACTTGTTTTTGTTGCATTTTCATCATGTTGAGCACCTTAAATACTTTAAAAGTAGTTGACAAGCCTCCTCTGGAGTGACCTGAATAATAAATAGCCAGAAGCCCCTGTGCTTTCCGATTTCAGTAACTGTTTTAAGTTCCACTGAACCCAATCCATGTACCAGGCTGTAGGACTGTGTCAGTCATATGGGAGGACAGATGGCAAAATTGTCATGGTAATACTTTTCCCATCTGCCTGAACATCAGCCAGTTCTTGTGCCATTTCTCCTCTGCTTGCTTTCCTTTCTAAGGAGGTTGTCTTTGGCATTTCTGGTAGTTCTCATGTTGTCCTTGATACACTGGAAACTTTAACATTACCACAAGGAACTCTTCTGTCTATTGTCTTTAATAACAGAATAAAATGCTGTGATGGCTAGTGTTCCTTCACATTTTTAGCAAACATAAACATTCAGGGACTGAAGAAACCATAATAATAAGCAGTAGTAAAGTATTATACCTGGCATAATGTACACCCTAACTGTAGCATAAATGAGAGAATCTTGATGTCAGTTCCCATAGCAAGTTCTCATAATGGGTCCTCGTTACCTTTGGAGTGTTGCAGGAGTCTCTGATGGATCCTGACCTCTTTACCATATTCATGGGTGGCCTTGAAAAGAGTTTGAATACTGAGCTATAGAGTTTATTGATGATATGAAGTTACTTACAATAGTGAAGGCAGTGACCAGTCATGAAGGATCTCAGGCCTTTATCACAGTTGGCAATAAAATAGCAGATGAAGCTCAGCATGGATAAATGCAGAGTCATCCTCATGGGGGATAATAAGCAAGTGTAGATTCACGTGTGCAGTAACTGTCTCTGAAATGACCTCTGCCACTCAGGAGAGACTGAGGACACTACAGTTGAGCCAGAAAGTTTCTGGCAATAGCCAGAGACTGGGAGAGTACTAGGACTAAATACCACATGAATTTCCTCTGTCCATTCTCTTCCTGGGGGATTTGCAAATGGCTTTTGTAGGAAGCTAAGCATGAGTCTTGAATGGATTCTAATTTTGAGCCAGTGCAGCTATTCCTATTCCAGCACTTCTAAAGCAAGCATAAAGCAAGCATAGTGTATAGAGGAGGCAGACTTAACTTTGATTTGGGGTGTGTCATAGTTCAGTGACGAAGATTTGTGTGGTCATCTATTTCTAGAAGGAAATCCTATGCTTTCTCTGGCTTTTTTATTTATCAATGCAGTGTATTTACAAAAATAAGAATTATGTGAGTCCCGTGCCCTCTGATTTTGCTGCCTGTTCAAAGGTAAGAAGGAAATGTGAGGGAACACTGTTTAATCAGTGGCTCTTTAAAGAGAAACTGAGAATACAGCAGCTATACACAGAGTTAAGCTTGTATATATGATTTAATAACTACTAGCTGTGGGCTTTTTTATCGAGACAGGTTATTGTTGGTGTTCTCTGGTCTGGCATTTTCCACTTTCTGTTGGCATTACTACCAGAATCACAAAGAATAATAAAATAGCAATCTTTACTTACTACTATTTTTTTTTCAACAGCAGCCCAGCTTTCAATATGCAGTGTTAACAGGATAGACGCAGAAGCTAAGCAATTACCTAGTTGTGAGGGTGTTGCATAAGATCAGGGGAAAAAAATTGCAGCACTTCACGCCAATTGAAATTCATCTCAGCCCTTTCATCTGGTTCCTCATCCATTATGGCCGTGTATACCTTATTCTCATTTTCTGCTCTGTTTAAAATGAACACATTTCATACCTTTTTTTTTTGATTGATCAAAGCGAAAACTATTGATCTGGGGGAATGTTTTGGTTTGTGCATCTCCTGATATTTTTAGCTTTACCAATGGTTCCTCACTTTCCTCAATTTCTCACTTCCCCACAGATAAGGAGAAAAGTTAGATTTGAACTGCAGTAAATACTTTTTCATTGTTTTTCCCCTTTCAATTTGCATTCTGTGGTGACCATCTTCTTTCCTAAAATGAGGGCAACTTTGTTGTGCAGGTTTGGTGAGATTAATTTCTTCCTTTTCTTGTCAAAGCCATCTAGGACTTTTTTATTTTTCGTGATCTGAATGTTTGCTTTAGAAAAGGGTCTGAATGAGTTGGTTACTGCAAAAGGGAAGATACTCAGAATGATTTAAACCTCTGACATCTCTACTTGCCTCGTCTGGAGACAGCCAAATGCAGTGTCTCATCTTCATATGTGGCATCACTGTGATTCTTTTTAATGAGGGAAGCATCTTGGCTTTCTTGAGATCTGTGAACATACCTCAAGATTTTTCTTGTTGAGCTGCTGTAGTAACTAGTGTAAGCTGAGGTGTCAAGCATTCATTTTGACCGGCTCCATTTGTATGACATGGAGAGTATTTTGTGACTTCTCCATATAGTTCTGTCCATAAAATTGCTGCTACTGTTCTTAATTACGTTATACCAATAATGTTATCTGTAGCTTATAAAATATATGAGTTTTGTAGATTTGAGTTGTGTCTGATCAACAGAGCTTATCAGTGACTGTGAAAAAGGACTGAACAACTTTCAGAAAATGTGGGTTACATATAATCCACACTGGAAGCACTGGAAGTTCTGTTATGAACTGCCTAACTTCCAAATGCCAATGAATTGTCCCCTCAGGCCATAAATTCAATCAAAGAGTATCCTTTTGAGAGCTGCCAAATTCCCCAAACAATTCCATCTCTGAAGATTGTGGAAAACATGAGTGAAATGCCACAGACTGAATGTCATCAGAAGCATATGGTGTATTCATGATGAAGAAGCTGTTGGGTGAGTATGACAGTAGCAGTGAGAGAGAGTTCAAGGAAGTCAGTGAAGCTGCCTGGGGTGGATCAGCAGCACGTGTGATAGAATGTCCCTTACTTCAGAGGGAAAAGAAACCCAGGTATTTGAGACGATGAGAAGCTCATGAGTCAATGCATAAGTGTCAGTCACTTGTGTTCAGATATAGCAGTGCAAAATACTACAATGATGGTCATCCTCACCATCATCACTACAAAGATAGTGGCTGTGGAAGCTTGATTTATTTGTAGAAATTGTTACCATGTGAACGCTAAACATAGAGAATCAAAATGGTAGAAAATTGAGAAAATGATTATCTAAAATTAAAATATTCTCAAATAGAAAATGTTGCATACTAAGAGCCACTCACACCCATAAGGAAAATGTTTTTATTTTTTCAAAGATAGTAACAACAAACAACCTCATAGCAAGATTGCTTGCATCTGTGAAGTTACAGACAACCTAATAAAGAAAGAATAAAAAAAAGGAAATGCAGCTGTCCTATGCTGGAGTACAGTTTGAAAGACTGAAATACCAAAACATGGAATTCAATATTGAAAATATTCCCAAAGTTGCTACGTTAATCTGCTTTGCGTAGCTTGCTCAGTGCAAGAGACAAAGTCAAAAACAATCAAAAGAACAGATGTTTAAGATGTTCTAAGTACAGTTACAGAGACAAGTGATGACATCAGCTGTCTTTAAATTGGATCTCGGAATTCTTTTGGAAGACATAGTGTAGCAGGCAATTCAGAAATAATCATTTAAAGACAATCAGAGAACAGGATGGACGATGAAATTTACTCTCAAAATAGTTAAGCAGGGAAGTAATTATATGAATGAGGTAGTAATCATATGAAACAACGGAGATTCACAATTTAACTAATTAATTTCAAAATAACCCAT